GATTAAGTTAAAGCAAGAAAGATATATTATGAGGCTATCGCTATTTTTACGAATGAACTTAAAAATTAGATTAATTAATTATAAATTTAGTTTATTACTATAAGTAACGGTTGGAATAAGGGAATCGGGGAGACTTTCGTTATTAATTTATAGTATTTTAATTTTATTAACACGGTTAAAATTATTCGCCCGGGGTAATATAATAGCGCTTAGAAATTTAATAAAGAAATAGCCGTTGATATTTCTGAATATATAGAAGTTTATAAGGATTTTAAACGGTACAGTATCGATAGCGTTCGTTACGGGGTCGCCGCCGAAAGAGGAGGAGTTTATTACAATACTTTTAATGCTAGCTAAATTAATATTAAATATAATAATTAAAAATATAATAGCGAAAATTATAATATTAAAAATAAGGACGTTCGTTACGACGGTAAGAATAAAAAATTAAAGGGTTTTAATATTAAAAAGAGAAAGTTTTCGTTGGATAAATCCGAAATTTAATTATATAAGAGGGGTAATAGTATAATATATAAAGTATACGAAAAAGGCTATTATTCTTTTAAAGATCATTAGTATATTAATTTAAGCGCGAAGTTTTATACTTTAGGTTATACCCTTCTATTAAATACGTTATTAAAGTTAATTTTGTCAGACATTTAAAGTTTATTAAGGAAGTAATTAAATTCTTTAAAAAGGAGGAGGAAATTAAGAAGGGAGAAATTAATATATTTATTAAGTTGGATTTATAAAGTAACTTTCTAAATTAATAGGGTATTTAAAATTGGAAATAAGATTTACTTTCTTAAACATTTAGCAATATTCGATTTAAGTAATTCGTTTTATATATTTAATAAAATTATTCGTTTCCTTTATTTTCGTTATATTAATCCGGATAACCTTTTATAGGTTGGTAATATTTAAATAGAAATTAAAGGGTTTAGGGAGGTCGATATCGTTATTAAGGGTAAGAACAATCCTTTAAAATTACGGTTGAAGGAGGTCGCCTTCTACCCTGATTTTACTACTAATTTCGTTTCCTATTTTTAATTGCAAAGGTAGAGTTTCTATTAGGACTATTAATTATTAAATACTTATTTAAAGGAGGCTAAAGGTGTATTTCTTTAATATTTAAATATTATTTATAATTAAACAGTTATTAAGATTATTCCCCGTTTATTTATTAGAATTTCATTCGTAATACACTATTATTAAATGAATTTATATATACAACGACCTTCGAGATAATTAGCGGAAATATAGTATTAATAACTCGGTTATTTAAATTCTAAAATAATCAATTATTTATAAAACGTTAATAGATTATAATTATATAGTATACCATTAATTAAATATAATATATATAATATAGTAAAGATAAAATAATAAATTAGCCGCGTTTTGAGAGACCGAAGTTACAGCCTAAGAGAAAAATTCGCTATCAATTTCTTCAATTTTAAATTAGGACTTAAAGAATTACGCTATTTCTTTCTAATTACCTATTAATAGTTAGGATTAATTTAGAACTACTATTTATCGAATTAAAAAGTTATTACGATAATTAATACTTTAATTAACTATATTTAAATATTTAAATACTAATATACTATTTATATTAAAACCGTTGAATATAATAACGAATTTATAAATAATAAAATTAAAATTAAATTTACTTAATATAATACAGTTCTTAAATTTTCTACTCCTAATATTTAAATATGGAATAAAAGGGTAGAAAGTTTAGGGGGTATAATTAAAGAGAGATACCGTATAATATTATTAAATTCGAAAATATTAGAAGATTTATAATTAAGAATTACTTACGCGGCCATTTACTTTATTAATCGTTCCCTTCATTATTTATATAATTAAAAATCCCCTTTCGAACGATTCTATACCTATTTTACGAACTAATACAATTAATAAGAATTACGTAAATTAGATTTAAACTACCTTCGAATCTATAAGTATAAAATATTTACTATAATAAACGCTACTTAAAAGAAAAAATAAAGATTTTAAAAGTATAACCTAAAGGTTTAGATCGGGTATTTTATTAACTACTTAGTAACTTCTATCTATTATATATAGAATCCCTATATAAATCGGATCGTTTAAATTAGGGATATAATATTCGACGAGGATATTACCTACTATTTAAACGTTAAGAAGTTTAAAAATAACCTTAAGATTACTAGCGAGGAATTTACCGACCTATTTAATAGAATAGACGAGCCTGCTAACCAACCTTCGGAGGTATTTAAACTATCCTATATTAAAAGCTATACGCTACTAAACGACATTAATAATAATAATATTAAATCTCTCCCGTTAAATTTCTTCGATTAAAATTAGGAGGATTATTAAAGGAATTAAAAAGTTTTCTAAAATAAAAGTAATTAATTATAAGAGGTATTAGTTTAATAATTTATTAATAATAAAATATCTATCGAATATATTATAGGTTTATACCCGTCGTTTCTATTTATTCCATTAATTATATTCTATACCAGTTGTTCTATCGACCGAGCTATCGACTAGTACGTTCGTTATTAAGAATTATAGAAAGCCGCTTTTAACGTTGGTAAATTAGTCTAACTAGTAATTAAAATAAATAAAAAGATAATTATTAAGGGGGAAATCGAACGGTTAATTATAAAATACAGTCGTTTTAATAGGGTATACTAACGTAATTTCCTCCTAATATTTAAAAAGCACTACGATTTAAATAACTTCGTACTTAGCTAATAATTTAAGAAAATAGAGGAAATTTACTTTAAGAATTATAAAAAGATAAAAATATAAATGGAAGTAAATAAGGATATCCCCTATTTTAAACGTAAATAAATTTTCGATTATATATAGGTTTATACTTATAAATTTAATAAGAATAGGATATTTAATAAGGTAAAAGCTAAGTTTGTTATAAGAGGTAATTAATAGAAAAAGATAAGAATTGATACGTACGCGTCTACTTTCGTAGGTCGATTATTTCGTATTATTATTACTTTTGTTATTCGCTTTAATTTTACATTTATTTAATACGATATAATTAATACTTTTGTAAATACTTATTCTAATAAGGACATCTATATATATATATTATCGGAGTATTAAATACCCGGGAAGGTTTTTAAATTTATTAAAGCCTTATACGGTTTTTGACGAATTCCTTTATTATAGTAACGAGAATTAAGTGGAGTATTTAAATCAATAGGATTTAAAGTAATTTTTGAAAATTTGTATATTATAAAGAAAGATAGTATTTTCATATTATATTATATTAATACTATTATTTCTGTATTCAATAAATATAAGATGGGGGAAGTTAAAAAAATATATAATAGAATTATAATTATAATATTACTTAATAGGAGGAGATGAATTCTGATAGTTTTTAGGTATTGAAGTTATATGTGATTGAGATTAAGGAGAAATTTAGTTGTTTTAAGAGGTAAATATCAATAAGATTACTAAGCTACTTAAATTTAATTACTACCTAATTTTAATACTTATAGGGTATAAAGAATTAGTTTTTTATAAAGGTATTACTAATTACGTAGAGATATAAGCGAATTAAATTAATATAAGTTCTTTACTATACGTAATAATTAATATTCGAGTAAATATTGCGTTTTTGTTAAGTAGATTGGCTAAATATAATTATAATCCTAATCCTACTTATTTAGCAGCGAGCGAAAAGGTTATATAGTATTTAAGGATAATAAAAATATAGGTATTTTATTTTGGCGGGAGTAATGGATTTGAAATTGCATTCAATACTTTATTTATTAATAATAAGAGTGACAATAAGAATTCCCAAAGATTTATAATTAAATTATATAGTAATTTAATTTATTAGGGAGTAATTAAATAGACTACGGTTACTACGTTAATAATAAAAGTAGAATTATATCTAGTTGAGAAGGTAATTAAGGAGACTTTCTTTATAAACCGATTAATATTGGTATTGGGGGTAAATTTATTAGAGGATCCTATTCTTACTCTATATTATAATAACTAGTAAATTATTAGGGTATTTATAGAGAAGACGTTTACTTTTAGTATCAAGATAAGGTACGTAGATATTTATAGATATTGGTTAAGGGGAGAAATTTTTAAGAAAAAGACCCTTAATATCGAATATTTAGAAATAAAATTGATATTAATAGATAGATTAATAAAGGTATTGGGTATTTTGGAGTATAGGAGATTTAGGAGGTTGCTAGGGATAGTTAAAGTGCTATTGTGGGAAGATAGCAGAGGAAGAGATAATCTGGTACCGGGAGAGGTAGATTTCGATAATTTAGATAAAATATTGGGATTGGAGATATGAAACGACGAGAGTAATATATAAATAATTTTACTTTTAATTTTAAAGAAGTAAAAGAAGTTTGTAAGTAAGGGGGTGTATTAGATTTTAGGGTAGTATTCTAACTAGATGTGGGCTAGATGCCAGAGTTCTAACCACCTGATTTAATAAGTCTTAGCAAATATAGGATACCCCCAGACCCCTAAACCTTCGGTAGAGAGAGCGCTCGAATCAATTACACAGATTCATTCAATTATACCGGTAAATCTGACAGATATAGGGGGCTTGGGCGTAATTGTTAGTGGTTAGCGCTTACAAGCGGGAACAACTCATTATCACCTCTGTTCTATTTCTATTAGGCTCCCGTTATGAAGCTGTTATGAATACAGGTATCATCGGCCCAAAAGCCTTTCGCTCCTCCTTTCACATCGGAAAGCGCCGACATTCTTTTGAAAGACGACGGAGCGTCATTTCATCGGCCAAGGCAGTCTTTTTGTCCATCCCGCGGGTTGCGTACGCCAGGGTTGGTGCATTGAGCGACCGTGCTGGAGAATCGGGGCGGCAGGTGGATTTATTGGGGCATGTGTAACCCTAACCCGGAGTTCATGTAACTTTTCAGTTTCCTGTCCTGCACATTGAGATTGAGATCCCAACCATTGGCTCGGCTTTTATTCTAAACTCCGGTTTTATTCTAAACTCCGCTTTCAACCTCAAACATCCATATCCGTTCATCTACATGACAGCTTGATGACCAGAAAAATACCAATTGTTCACACAATATCTCATCTTCTTCTCCTACTTTACTCCATGCATTGATCACACAGTCACAATGTCCGTCCCCGTTTGCGCCGATTGCTTCAAAGGAACCCTCCGCGGCGACGTCATCCCCACCGGCCACGAGGATGTCATCCACGGACTTCCCACATACATCGCGACCCCGGAGCCCTGGGTAAAACCGCTCGGCACGGTAGTTCTCATTACCGATGCCTTCGGATGGACCCTCCGCAACACGCGCGCCCTAGCGGATTCATACGCAAAACGTGTTCCCTGCATTGTGTACGTCCCCGACTTCATGGACGGCAAAGCTGTCCCTCTCTCGCTCATGGCCTCATTCGAGTCGAAGCCCGACCCCAACTCGCCCTGGCTTTTCCGCATCCTGAGTCGCTCCTGGAACATCATCAAGGCCGTCCCCGTTGTCCTCCTCTTCCTTTACCGCACCCGTCCATCTGTTGCTTGGCCGCGCGTGCGATCCTTCCTCAGCGCTGTGCGATCGACGCCGTCGGCGGATGGTACACCTCCCAAGGTCGGCGTTGCTGGGTTCTGCTGGGGTGGGCTCTACGCTGTTGGCCTTACTAATACTCAAAACCCGGACAATTGGGTGACGCTTGGTGGTGGAGGGAAGGTTCCGCTGATTGACTGCGCGTTCACTGCCCATCCGTCGTTGCTCAAGTTGCCGAGGCACATCCAAGAGGTGCAGCTTCCGCTCAGCTTGGCGAACGGGGAGGACGATGCGTATATGGGGAGGGAGAAGATGAAGGAAGTGACGAGAATTCTGGAAGACAAGAACAAAACGTCGGCGACGGAGGTGGAGGTGGAGGGGGCGGATATGCCGAATGCGTATGAGGTTGTGGTGTATCCGGGAGCCAAGCATGGGTTTGCTGTGAGAGGAGATCCGGAGGATCCGTTGCAGAAGGAGAGGGGAGATCAGTCTGAGGTTCAGGCTGTGCGTTGGTTCAGCAAATGGTTTGCCATGCGAGCGTTCGTGGCCAAAGAGGTCTGAGTTTCTGAGATAAACCTGTGGTCGGCGCCGCGGCTGTTTGGTGAGTGGTGCCTGCTCCTTCCACTTTACGTCTAACACTGCGACGTGCTTGTGTTTGGGATATCTGGGGACCGTTACCACGGTACCGGGAGGCTCTGCGCGTTTCAGCCGTGCGGGTTCTGTAGCTCTTCGCGGACCTTCCACTTCCCATTCACTTCGTGTTGTCTACCTACCTAGTTAGCGCAACCTGGAGGCCGGGTGCAATGTGAATGCTACAACAAAGTAGTAAACCATCTCCCTTGAAGCTATCCTTGCCCGTTCCAACAAACCAACGCGCCAACAAGCTGACAAGCCAACAAGCAAACCAACATCATAGTGCATTCCATTTCCGTCATCTTGCCCCAGCCGACTACTTGCCCTTCGCGTTTAGCATTTGCCTGGTATCATCGCTACCCCGCGCAGTAATCTCTGACCCAACTGACGTCCGAGACGACGCTTATCGCGCCGGAAGTCCGCAAAGATGCCTCTACCACCGGAGACACAGCATCTGCTATCGTCGCACGACTTCGACTCCTCCGTGGATGAAGTCCCTCGCGAACCGCATTACACGCGCGCCGACCTCCTCTCGCTCAGCAAAAGCCAGCTCATAGCCACCTTCCTGGACCTCCAAGGCCGCGCCGACCAGTACCTCTCCCACATCGAATCCTCGCTGCGCGCCCAACAGTCCCAAGCCGAAGTCCTCACCTCCATCGAGCTACACTTGGACATCCCCCCTCAGCTCACTGAATCACACCACCAACACGTCGCGCTCGACCACGCTCTAACCTGGAACGAGATCTACGGCCCGGACAGCGCCCTCCTCCTGCAAACCAGCACTCTCCAAACCCAAGTCACCACCCGCCGCCTGACCTCCATCCGCGACCACATCCGCGAAAGCGGCGGCGGCGACAGTTTTTCCCCCTCCTCCCCTAACCCTTCCAACGGCTTATCCCTCAGCCCCCCAACCCTCTGCAAACACGTGCTCTCCACCACCATCACCCGCATAGCCCCCGGTTTCTTCCTCGCCGGCTCTGACGACCCCGAGCAAAAGGAGAACATGCTCTCGTTCAAGCAGATCGCTTTGGGCATGAGCATCCGCGAGTTCATCGAGTCCTTTGCCGAAGACCAAGGCCGCGCAGAAGAGGACGACAACGAGCTCTGGCGACGTATGGAAACCCCCCTCTTGCGCGCTCTGGCAACTCCGGAAATGAGCGATGCGGCCTGGAACCGGATGGGCTTTCTCGGTGCTTGGTTCCGTGCTCAGAGGTCGGGACACTTTGAGGCGGAGCGGATGCGGTTTTTGATGGAGATGCAGAGAGAAGCCAGGGAGAAGATGAAGAACGAGAGAGCGGTGCCAATGGTTTGTGTGCAGTGTAGGGAGGAGAAGGTGCTGCCTGTGGGGAATGAAGTTGCTGCGAGGCTGGTTCAGGCGGAGGGAAAGCTGTTGGAGTGGTGGAAGGGAGGGAGGGAGGAGGTGGAGAGGGTGGTGGAGGGGATTGTGGAGAGGTTTAGGGAGGAGGATCGGAAGGAGGCGAAGAGGGCTTATGAGGAGTTTGCGAGGAGTATGGGGGTTGTTACTGCTGCTACTGGTACTGGTACTGGTACTGGTACTGGTACTGTTACTGGTGATGCGGAGGCTGTGGAGGCTGATGAGGCAAGACCGGCTGGACCGGCGGGAACGGGATACCCGGTGCCGATGCCGCCTGATGATTTGGGTCATGCGGGAAGGTATGAACCTGAGTTTCGGCCGAAGGAAATTAACAGCTTGGTGAGGCAGGTTCATATGAGCAACTTGTAGAGTGGAAGGGAGTATGTGTTGGAGATACGGCAACAGGGGACCAATTGGGGCCCGGAAGCCAACAATCATGTCTTCCTGGGGATAGAAGTGTATTACCCTATTTCGGGAAAGTTGTGTAGCAGTATCGACGATGGAAAGGTTTTGAGCTTAGGGGTCAGATGTCCATATGGAATCCGACCATGTCCGAGACGGTGGTTGGTAGAGAGATTGCTCTGTACATTGCTCTCTGGTGTTGCAGCATTACCCGTTAGCTATCATCATGGCGGTCATCATGATCTGGCTGGAGTTTGGGGTGATAAAGCAGGACGGTTTCTGTTCGGGTATCTCTGGCTGTTGCATCTAGCACATCATCTGCATACCTAGGTATCAATAGTTAGAACTGGTTGTCAATCATCATGATGTACAGTAGCCTGATAGTCCAAATGAGACCTATCCCAACCCATCCTGAATGCCGGAAGCCTGCCTTGGAATGCCTCGAAGTGAACCGAAGACAAGTTATCAGCGATATCTGGGCAGACATAGTATTCAGGCTCCTATCATCGAGAAACTAAATGCCAAAAAAATCCAGGCCACTTGACGAGAGGTTTCGAGCTAACAAACTCTCCAGTGCTTCTGGTGTGTTACATGGCCTTTCGGCCCGGTTCATCCCACGATCAGTTGCTCCTTCCCAAATCCCAAATTCTCATCTCCTTCGCAACATCCCGCCAGGCAAAAGCCACTCCACCATCTTCCACCCACCTACTCCTTCCTTCCTTCCCCCCTTCCTTCCTTCCCTCCTTCCTCAAAGAGTAACATATATACACTTCCTCAAAACCTTCGCCCCCAAAAACGGATTCACCTTCCTAACCACCCCATCACTCCCCACCACCTCCTCCTCATACCTCTCCAAATCCACCACACTAACCACCGTACTCTTCGCCCCCTCCACCCCAGCCCCATCCCCAGCCCCAACCTCGCCAGGCACCCTCTCCCAAATCTCATTCAGCCGATTATTCACCGTCCCGACCTGCGTGGCCTTGAACCCCGCCTTCTTGGCTTCCACCATCAAATGCGCCGCCAACGCTCTCGCCAGTCCCCTCCCTTCATAATCCGCCCTCGTCGCCGTTCCGCATCTATACAGACACTCGCCTACTTCCTTCGGTTTGCGCTCCTCCGGCGGGCGAATGTCGTTGGCCTCTGTCAGGCCGACTAGTTTTTCGAACAGCGGCAAAGCGTCGAAGAGAGGTTGGAATTTGACTCTATCAAACGGAGTAGCCACAGGGTCGTAGGCTAGCGCGACTGACACAAGCGGGAAATCCATTTGTTCCAGCAGCTCAGCACCGGAGGCAGCGGGGGTTGACTCATCCCAGTAGACTTTGCCGTGGGTGGCGGCGGACTCGGGCCGCTTGTATTGGTACTAGGTGTCGAAGATGCCGTAGGACATGCCGGATTCGATGCCGTGGGAGGTGTTGTACTGCCCGGTGTTGAAGACTTGGTAGGAGCGGGAGACGGCGTCGGAGGCGTGTAGGCGAGACCAGACGGCGTTGTGGAAGAGGTTGGCGTGGGTGATGATGGCGTGGGCGAAGGGGAGGTCGGAGAGGGTGAGCTTGCGGATTTGGTAGCGGGGTGGGAGGGTTGTTGGGGATGCCATTTTGGGTTGATTTGTTGGCTTCTTCTTGTGGTTGCTGGAAGGGATTGGAGTGCTGTTTGAAGAACTTTTTGACTTGTTGTTGATATTGGGGGCTTCGACTGCGGCACTTTGTTGTTTGTTCAGCGCGAGGAAAGTCTGGGGTATTTATCACTGGCATCACCAAAGACGGCCGCACAAGGCATTCGCAAGTCCGCGTCAGCATGTCAGCTTCAGGTACCATCCTTCCTATTTGGGTTTACCGTGCAACCTACCTGCCGTAATGGAAGTGTGAGCTGACCAACCGTTCAACATCAGATTGTCTTGGAATCTCATCGTGACGAAAGGGACACACTCGACGCGTTGTCGCCTAAAATCTCACCGTGTAGGCCAACTTCCGAGGTTCGGTCATCAGGAGATGTAGGAACCACACTCCATTGTACGTCTGTCTGATTTTACCAAATGAACACTTGGTCTCAAGCCTTTGGGTCCCTTCCACTTATCAGGCCTCATCTTCTCGAGAAGACAAGTGTTGTTTTCAGGCCTTTGCTACTCCGCGGAAAGAAGGTTGAGTACTCGCACTCACGTCTACCACCCACAATTCCGCCTCTTACCGGCCAGAGGGCCGTGCAAAGATGAGAGACTTGGAGCGCCAGGACAAGTGTCACTTTATGGAAAGGGTTGAAGATCAAGTGCGAGTGTTTCGAACGGGTGTACTTCGCGGGCGTAACTTGAACCTAAGTTCGGCGTGCGCAGGGCAACCATCCAAACAAGATGCATCCCAGAAGGACAACATGGATGTTAGGAGTCTAGGCATCAAGTACTCAAGCCTGTGATGGTCTCTACGAGAGATCTTTGGAAGCAGAAGGCAACATGACGGGGAACGGGTTGGTTTCGCAGTGTTCGGTGCTGACAATGACATCTGTCGGTTGACTTGACCGACACCGACAGCTGCTTGCATTGCAGCCACAGAAGCCACCCACCACCTCCCAAAATGTGCAGACAAGTCCAAACTTGCTTAACTGTTGGACTCCTCAGATCACAACTCCATTTTCTATCCCAAGCACCGCAGTTCCTCACTCCCGTGATCCCAGTCAACGACCACGGCCACGCGCCATGGGCAGCCGAACGTCCAACAACTCGAGCTCCTCCACCGGCACCGGTTCCGGGTCGCCGTCAGTATCGTCTCCGTCAGTATCCGACCCAGGCACCATAACCGCCGCCCTCCGCGCCCTAATGCCTTCCCACCCCGTCTGCGCCGACGCCCTCGCCCTCGCCCGCTCCCGCCTCCCCGCCACGCTCCTCTACCACAGCTTCCGCGTCTACATGTACGCCCAAGCGTTGATGCGCATCACCCCCCTAAACGACCCAGCCGACGGCCCTTCTTTGCTGCCCAGCTTCCCAGGGATAGCCCTCATCAGTCCCGCCTTGGGGGAATACGCCACCATCGCTCCGCCGCACGTCTTGTTCGTCGCTTGTATCCTGCACGCCATAGGCGTAGCCCGCGAGTACGATACCATGCCCGAGCGGTTCGAGATCATCGGGGCGGACGTAGCCGCTCGTTTGCTACGCAGTCACAACATCCCGACGCTGGCGGTCCGCGAGGCTTGGTTGGCCATTAGTCTGCATACCAACCCGACTATTGCGGAGCGTATGAGTGGTGCGGTGCGTGCTCTGCGGTTTGCTAAGCGGGCGGATTTTGGGTTTTGTACTGTCCCGCCTGTGGATAGCCTGCCGGGAGGAGCTACTTCGGTGAATCTGCTGAGGTGGCAGCTGCCGAGGTTGGAGATTAAGAAGCAGCTTGGTGATGCTATTGTGCGACAGGCGCTGAAGGAAGCGCAGAAGGCACCCAGGGGGTCTTGGGCGGCGGAGCTGGTTAGGGGGAAGGAGGGGCATCCGGATTGGGAGGGGATAAATATGAACTTCAATATGTTCTAGGTCTTCTAGGAGCTGTGGGGGTTTGGGGCGGCAGAGCTGGTATGTGTAAAGGAGGGGCATCCGGATTGAGAGGGAATTAATAGGAATTTGGACTTGTTTTAGGGCCAGAAACTCGTGGGGGCCAGGCGTAAGGAGGAGATTTTTTGCATCTGCGATGTTGCTTGTTCCCGTCTGGGTAGGATCGTTGATGGCTGGATTGCCCGCAATGCCTTTCTTGAATGAGACGGTTCAACTGCACCACCTTTGTTGTCATATCGTGACGGCTGTTGTTGGTTACTTGGTTAATATGAAGGAACGCTTCTCAGCCCAACAGTTGCTCGGAAGGACGATACGGCAGCAAACAAGCCCAAATCCGGCGACGGGTAGAGGCAAACGGTGCCTTCCACTACCCATTAACGCCCAGCCAAGATTCTGTCCAACTTAAAGCGCACAATGAAGGTTGGGGGTGACAAACAATGAACTGAAAGGGAAGAATGGAGTGAATGTTGGAGGGATGGTGATCAAGTGTAAGCTGAAAGCTATTAGAAGAGCGCCAGGGGCTCGAATGTTTTGTAAACAGACCGTTGGAAGTTGTTTCTTACAAGCATGGATACAAAATGTGTTCAGAACTTGAACTTCTGCGCAAGCGCTCTTTGCAATCTTCGCTACCATACGATGGCGATTTCTTCATCGACGACAACATCCTTGCTCTATTCGGTCCTGGGGCAAAGATCATATCAGCTAGTCACTGCGGGAAATCAGCATGGACTGTCACTGCTCGTCTGGTTCTCGCCTTTTCCGATGGATCCAGGGGCCAGTACTTCGTCAAATCCGCCCCGGGTAACCATGGTCGTTCCATGATGGAAGGAGAGTGCAGTGCCATGTCTGAACTGCGCAAGTCGGCGCCTGACTTTGCCCCCGCGCCACTCGGCTGGGACAAGTACAAGCTAGAGGAGCCGGAGGCCTATTTCTTCGTGGCTGAGTATGTCGACATGCAGGACGGGATGCCACACCCGGACAAGTTATGCTCGAGGCTGGCACGTCTCCATCGCGAAAGTCAGTCTCCGACAGGACAGTTCGGCTTTGGTATCTCGAAATGTCAGGGGCGTGTGCTGCAGTGTGTCGAGTGGGAAACTAACTGGACCACGTTCTTCGTCAAGTTGCTTCGGAACGTCATTGTCCAGGACTTTGAGGTCAACGGTTCCTGGGAAGACCTTGACATCGTCGAAAGACGGTTCATCGAACGAGTTGTGCTACGGCTGCTAGACGCCTTGGTGGAAAATGGCCGCGTCCTCAAGCCGAGCTTGATCCACGCAGATCTCTGGGAGGGGAACTGTGGAACCTCTCGTGACAACGGCAACATCTACATCTTCGATGCGGCTTGTTTTTACGGCCATCACGAGATGGATGTCGCGGATTGGCGCTGCAACTACAACAAGATTAGCGATCCGATATACACAAACACGTATAACCGTTACCAGGAACCGAGCGAGCCCAAGGACGAGTGGGAGGATAGGAATCGGTTGTATAGCGTGTACTATAACCTGTTATACTCGGTCAACCATGCCAATGCTGGAACGGCTGTTAGGCAGCAGTAGGTCGCCCATCTTCAAGTACAATGGCAAACACTAATCTGGTCGCAGAGCATATGCGGATATGTACCATCTCGTGGACAAATACGCTCCGTTCCCGGGCAACGAAGGGCCACCGAGGATCGCGGCTGATCAGATGGCCGTGCTGCCTGTCGAGAAGGACCACGCCATGTCAACTGTGCCTGATATTTTGGGAACGCCTTGATCCCATTCGATGGGCTGCTCCGTCGAGTATGACAGAAGCTGAGTGTCCGTGGCCTTGTTTGGTCGTGTTGTGTGGTCTGCTTGGTCGAATTGCATCCCTGTATTACACCTCAAGATCCTCTTCCCGAGCTTCCACGACAGCACGATCGGATATTGTGCAAAGCAACGAGGAAGGAGTGATGTGTCGTGTTTTTCGAAGAGGGAGGAACGATTTGGGCATTAAGAATTAAGGGGTAAAAGTGGGTCAAATTCGCAACATCCGCGCCAAGGGAACGGATTTCCAGTGGGTTACAGCAGCAACACTCAACCGTGACCCCGTCGGAGGTTCATATAAAAATCTACAGGCAAATTTAGAATGGACCATTGTTCCATTCCCAAAGAGCTGTCTCTGGCACCTCGCCATCTTCAATGGATGACGACAAGACCGGGCGCAAACGCCCTTTGTCGTTGTCCCTCCTGGCTTCCCCGCATGTTGGTTGTTGGTGTTGAAGGAGCGGCGACCCGTACTACCTGCAGTACCCCGCCGTACGTTGCTGTACTTAGCGTATCGTCACTATCTTACAGGGGCAGGTGCACCCGGCATCATCCCGTTTGGCATGAGCACGGGCAACTGATCATGATGTCTGCATTTTCTTTCCCGCCGTACTGTCTTTCTCCTGACTTCTTCTTCAAGATCACCAATTTCGATGTCAAGACACCACCTCTGTCTGAACCATGCTCATGCTGGACTACACTCGTATTTTTCTTGACATATCAATGCTAGTGTTCTAGCTCTGCCCTACGTCTCCTATATCACTGGTTTCAATTTGTCACTTCGGATCAAGGCAGTTTTAGGTGCAAACACTAATGTATTCATGGAAAACGAACGCCGTACGCCTATCGCTAATACCCAAAATGCATTCCAAAAGCCAACGCTGTACCCAATGACTCCATGTCCTTCTCTTCTCTCTACTCCTTGTCTTTTTCTTCCCCGTGCTGATCAAACGTTCAAAACAGATCAATCCTGAAGCGTTACGATGCCATCCTCGTCGACTCCGAACTCCGTCACGTACATGCAACGCCCGGCGTCGCAATTGGCGTGGAACACCATGATTCCACCGCCGCGGACACTGCTCGCTCCTCCAGGGCCGTCGAACCCGAAGGAAGTAGTGTTAGGACCCATCAGCTCACCACGGCGATGGTACGGTCCCTCGATCTGGTCTGCAGTCGCATACTTGATGTCGTACTCTGGCGTGTTATAGCAGTGGGATGAGTAGAACAGTACGAATGTGCCGTTCCACGTCCGAATCAGGTTGGGGGCCTCGATTAGCGGGCCATCGAGCTCCGGATCACGGTCGAGGATCTCAGTGTAATGGCCTATCGGAGTGATGCCGTCGCTTTCGTTAACTCTCTGCAGACGAAACGGAGTCGGCTCGCCAGGGGGGTCGCCGTTGCCGCAAGGACCACCGGGTCCCTTCGAACTACCGTCCACCTTATATACAACGAAGAACGAGCCGTCGAAAGGGTCGAGGTAGCCGCTCGCATCGATGGCACCACCCTCAGAGTCGGGGCAAGCAAAAGGCTCATCGAGAGCCTCGTACGGACCGGTGATGTTCTCCGCAGTGGCGATGCCAATGCAGTGATAAGGAGAATCCGCCAAAAGACCAGAGTAGTACATGACGAATGAGTCGGTGGCCTCGAAGTAGTGCACATCTGGGGCCCAGATGTCGTATTGGTCGGGGTTGACCCACTTGCCCGGAGTCGGGAGGAGGTCGTGCTCGACATAGGTCCAAGGACCGTCGTGCGGATTGGGGCTGTAAGCAGCCTGGACGTTCTTGCCGTTGCTGTTGGTTGCAAAGGTGTACCACTCGTGGGTGCGAGGGTCAAGGGTAATGGCTGGGTCAGGGAAGTCTCTGTTGCCCAGGGTCTCAGCCGGGGAGGCCAAGATAGCCAGGGGGGCCATCACCAGGGCCACAATGGCGGAAAGGAGAGAAGTGAGCTGCATGATGGATGTTCGTGGATGTTCGGTTCCTCACTAGCAGGCTCATAAAACGGTTGCTGTGTAAGTTGCTATCGATGGCGAAATTGGGGAAGCTGTTCGACTACAGGCTAACGGTTGCTGTTCTAATTCGTGGGAGTACTGGTATTTGTAGTTGTGGCAGGAGGGAAAAGGAGGTCAAGGATCAAGATCTGAGGGGTTTATATAGGTCCTCGAGCTTCCTGTCGTCGGAGAATTTCTGTCGTGATGTCCAGTCACGAGTCCCTCGATATCAGATACCGGGTTCAGTGAAGTTGCGCAAAGTTGCGGGACCGAAGGTCCGGAGGCTGACTCAATTCGAGTAACGTTGGAGACTCAGGTCACGAGTCCTCAAGGTGAATGGACTGCTGGGCCTTAAAACCAAACAGGCACCACTGTTCAACAGGAGGATTTCCCCGGGATTGTTAGTGAAGGAAGAATCCGCCTACGAACAGAAAGTCAGCAATCTTGAATCGCTTGGTAAGTTCTTTTTGGATGAGAAGGATGGTGAAGGTCTTACTCTACTTGGCAGACTGCTCCGGATCAAAGCGCTGATGAATGACACAAGTTTTAGGTTCCTAGGTTCGATGAAACATGGGATTCTTCGTGAATACCATGTGCCTCGGCGTGGTTGTGGTTGTGTCTTCAATCTCGTCGAACAAGTCAGGACGGTGCAACTCGACCTTTATGCTTCGTCTTCCAGTCATACGTCAGACCAACAGCCCCGACACCAGCTCAAAGCCCATTTCTTTCACACTTATTCCTTGACAACCATCATCATGGATTCTGGTGATCGTCCCAGGGTACCACCCTTGCGGTGGAGCTATGTATGTTGTCCATCATCCTGATCAGTGAGCCCTGAGCTTCAATACGCATCACAAAGAGAGCGAAAGACGCTGGCCTAGTTCCACGAGATTGTTGACGTACGCTAAGGGTCCTCGAGATCTGTCAGATTGGCACTACTACACCAAGCTGGCAAAACTGGAGCTCCGAACTTGGAGTAATTCTAGTGGCTCAATCAGCCAACCTATGAATCTGACAAGATCGTCGGATGAATCCGGTCCCATGGAGTCTCGACCGGTTGGTGTCCTCATATCACTTCTCCACATTTCAGCTTTCAGGATCCCCAGTCCGGCCTGATCGCCGGCTCCGTCACAGGGAAGATCTTTGCTGCAAAGAGTGGACAACGTCATCGGACCCTGTGGGCGGACGATCACAGCGCCCTTGTTCTCGAACATCCTTTTGCTCCGCTTATGACATTCTTCATTCAGCCAAGAACTATGAGGGCACCTTGGCTGTGTCTTGAAGCACATTTCACTGCTTCTTCACCCAGTCCATCGGGTCCTGGTATCGGTCGCACGATTTCGGCTTCGTGTATCCCGAGAAGCTGTTGTGGCTTGCGACGTCTGGGAGTTTTTCGCATTGAAGCAAGCCGAGACATGCCTCATTCCTCCAAGGAAGGTTGGTACTCAAGGTCAGGCCATTCAGTGAGCTCGAAGCACAACCCTCAACTTCAAGTGTGACACTCACATGCAGCTGACCTTGAGTGTCTTGGCGTTCTGGAACCGGATCTCGAATCTGGGGTTGTTGGAGTGACAGGACACAGTCTGGACAGAAGCTTTTGACCGAGGAAAGGATTCGAGACGACAAGACGGAAGGCATGCATTCAAGCTCTATCACGAGACTGCCTTGACTAGATGCTGATCTCAACAAGGCCGCCTTTCCCATCGTCAACATACCGACCCCAACCCATACACTGGCCAGGGAGTTTCTTTTGAGTATTGACCATGTTCCCGCTACCTAGTCCCACCCATGCCTATGCTATCCGGAGCAGAACCCGACAAGGTTTGTGCGGAGGTCCATTCGGTGACGTCCTATCGGATCAACAGACCGTCTGAAGCTCACCGGGGCCCAAGCTCGAGCCAAACCGGAGGTTCGTCCCGTATCGTACGTCACCGCTTCACCTAACCCATGACAAATAACCTCAGGCTAGGTTCTCTATCGTTTGTCAAAGACTGTTGCGGCAACAAATACACTTCACGTACCTAAGAGACCGACGGACCAAGTGGTGGAGGCGACCCAAATCCCGAGCCGGCGAGCCCCCTTTGCTTGCACATATCGAAGTTTCGTGCTCACTGGGCCCTTGGTGCTGCTTTAACAGGGACTGCGAACTGCGGCGCCAACGAAAGCTTGCCGATTGCCCAAGCTTGCTCCTGTTACCCATCAAACACAACAACAGCCGCAGCCTCAATATCTTCAGTCGCCCTGTCAGTCCCAAGCATCTACCTAGTACCTATATAATCGGTGCTCGCACAGCGTCTTCCTTCCTGGCACTATCAGCTTCTACAGGATGGACAGCACACAACAAGCCATGCTGACACACCAAAGGTTGGCAAGCTGGGACAAACCCGTTCGTGTACTTCTGTACTCCGGGGGATTGCCGAAGAAGCTTGGCGTGCCTGGTACCTGCAGCCTTGTATGCTACGGACATGGGTAACCCTGGTAACCAATGCCGCGCGGCTCTGCTCTCCGGAGATGTCACTTTGTCGGTTCAAGGATACCTCTAGCAACAGCAGCGCCAGGGGGTTGTTGCTCAGTCAAACGCAGCTATACAGCAAGGAGTAGCTGATGATTGTCTCACAATAACAGTTTAGGATGTGAAAGCAAACTAGCAAAGTCATTCCTGCGGTTGTCACGTGGCAACCACTGGTAGGCCTCACCATCCCTCAATAACTGACGACGATCGGCTCTTCTCTTGAGGGTCGATGAGGGATCTAGAAGATAGGATATACTTTGTATTGGAGTGGCCAGTCGCTGTCTGGGGTTTCTTCTTTTTTTCTTTTCTTTCTTTCCTTCCAACTCCTTTCTTCTTTTCTTTCTTTCTTTTTTTCTCATCTGTAGTGCTTATGCCGCTTTTCTTCACTTATAGGTTGACATTCACTTATTAAGCATCTCTGCTCTTCACCACATGTTATTGCTATGGCCACTCGTCGAACCGAACAACCTTGCTATGACCTTGAACCTTAACGCCTATTCACTGGGCTTCCCTTCACCGGCAATCTCCTCTAGTATTTCAGGGCTGTTCCGGTTTCCATTTCTACTCTGACTGTTACCACTTCAGAGTCAACCCGTTTGTGGTCGTCGGCCCTCTACCTCCGTCATTTTCTCCATACCACCATCCAGGCAGTCTGCGATGATCCATAAGACCTAACCCTGCCTCTACATCTATCTTTCCGTCTGCTTGCCCCCACGGCCCCACGCCGCACGGCGAGCTTGTCAAAATGCCGTCCAAGTAAGCCCCTCTATTCACACCTCCTTCCGGAATCCCACAATCCATATGCCAGTTCTAACTCTATGGTCACAGAATCGTCGACGAAGTCATCCAGGCAATCACTGGACAGTTGTTCCAGGGAATTGACAGCTCGGAACATAACATGATGTGAGTCACATGAGATCGATATAATGCAACCCAGAGGTGCCTACCCGTTTTCGTTGTCATGGACACTGATCAAAAGTTCTTCAACCTTCTAGCCCCGCTGTAATGCAGCAAAAGGTTGCTAAAGAGCTCAAAAACGTGCTGAGGAACGCCGGTATCAGTGGCGATACCTCTCTACGTGACGTCGTCCTACCTCTTGCAAACAATGAGTTCGGCTGTCCCGGCAATGAACGCTCGGAAGCCCCGTTTAGTATTTTGGCACCGGCTGGTGACAACAACGCTGGAGAAGCTCAAGATGACACAGCCGCTCCGTAAGTCTCCCAAGCCCTACCCTTTCTCCTAAACTGGTAAAGCCTCATAAGAACTGACACATGTCGTACGTTAAAGACTCACTGGCGACTGGTCCTTGGACCAGTTTAACCCAGCCGCTCGCCCTCCCAAAAGCAGCTACGCGTGGTGCGCAATCTGCGAGAGATGGCAGTCAAATTCTTCTCAGCATAAGAGGCAGTAAGTTCCACTGGCTAAGAGCCAACATGCAATGATGCGGCCGATGTAAAATCTGACACAATTCCCAACGTACATAGGCATGTCAACAGGGAGCCCGTTCTTTGCCCCGAGCCGCTTTTGGGCGGCGTACCAGGAATGCTCTGCTTGGAGCAATTTCAGGACCAGACTGCTCTCAGGTGCCATATCCTGCGTGATCATGGTCGCCATACTTCAAACGCTTACAAAGGGGGGATTCGAGTGGATTCTAGCGCGGGAAATGTTCTGGTTAGGAACGCTAACGGAAAGTCTGAGGACTGAGTGTCTCGCACGGGCAAATGGGAAACGAGTGTTCGTGGCTGCGGTATCTTCTGTTTCCTAGTAGTCTAGGTAGAGGTATGGATGCTGGATAACCGGGTGGGACAAGGCGAGTATTAACGGTTGATATCTGCAGCTAAAGGTATCTAGCCTCTGCCTTGTTCATATTACTTTTCTCTCTCACTGCATCCACGAGAGTACGTGTTGGGCCGCCGCCACCTGGTAAGGTTGGCTGGCACTTGGCCCACTTTCACTTCCAGACCACACCAGTATTTTTTCCTTCTTTCTTTCTCTTCCCGTAGCGCTTTCTTTCTGAATCATCCACAATATCATCACTTCTTTCTTTGATTCAGCGGATCGCTTCCCACAGGTTGTGAGCCCGGAACCGCTTCGCGATCTTCGAAGTCAACAATCGAGCCGCTTCGTTACGAGGTTTACAGCAAATTCAAGCACACCCTATAGGGAGAAAGTCCCGGTGTTTTGATTGATTTGCACGCCCATCAACGAACGCGACCTTCTTGTCGACCCCGCATCGCGCCCTCCATCAACAGTTGTATCTAGCCCATACGACTCACCTTTCATACGACTCACCTTTCTTTCATCACCTTTTCTTTCAACGTCACCTTTCCTTTACGTCGTTATCTACAGCTTCGAGCGAAGTCTTCTTTCCTTTTCAGTCTACTCTCATCCACCGTCATCATGGCTTTGGAGGTCGGAATGAACATCGAGCAGTTGCTCGGTGAGTCCAACATCGACAGTTGGGACAACGCCCTTCGTAACACTCTCGACGTGTACGGCTTACTCAACTATCTCGACGAGGATGTTCAACCTCCCACTCCAAAAGACCCGGACGCCCCGACTGCGGCTGAGAAGAAGGCTGCCGAGGGCTGGCGTGTTGAACGCGCGCGTGTCTTACTTGCCATCACGAATTCCATGAAGAGTCGGAATGTCCAGATTCTCCTTCAGAATTCGGGTTGGAATCCTGCTGACCGCGACCCCAAGCGCCTCTACGACCTCATCAAGCGTGTGGTTCCCAAGGTCTCCCAGGAATCCATCGGCATGGTTATCAAGGAGTATACCAGTCTCAACCGTGCCTCCTTTGACTCCATGGCTTCTTTCCTTAACCGTCATTTCTTTCTTCGTAAACGTTGGAACGATCTTAAGCTTACAGTCAGTCCTCAGGTCGAGATTTGGTTCCTTCTCAACGGACTTGAATCCTCCTATCCTCTCCATCACCGTCTTTGGGTCAACGACCTGACCAACGGTCACCTCACCATGTCCGATTTGCTCGACAAGCTCAATACCATAGCGACAACCGAGGCCACGACGCCGGCCTTGTCGGTGCAGGTTAAGGCTGGGACCAAGGAGAAAGAGGATACGAAGTCCAGCAACAACAAGAAGGACAAGAAGAAAGGCCGACGCGAGATGATCGACTGCACTCATCCCGGCTGCAAGCGTCAGATTCCTACCGGCTTCGTCCATGCCGCTTGTGGTCATCACAGAAACCCCGACAATGACGTCTGTTGGTGGTGTGAACCAGACAAGGCACCAGCTACTTGGCAGAACAAAGAGAAGGCCATCAAGGCTCTGCAGAAGACATCTACAGGCACTACCGCTCTTGTCGTCCACAACTCAAGCAATCTCAACAATCCGGCCACGACTGGATCCAACTTGCTGTTCGCCAACAGTATCCCGGAATTCAGCATGCTGGGCGCTATACTCAACCCAGCGGGTTTTCACTAGAGCTCCCAGCGATACCCTTATTCGCTGAAGTCCAACAAGCTCATGAGGCATTCACCAAAGACAGTGTTGTATACGATACCGGTGCGGCGACCACGATCTTCAACCATATCAAGTGGTTCACCGACTTGCAACCTTTGCCTCAACCTATGACCTATGTTATAGGTGATGGTAGGACTCACTATGCCTACCATGTGGGCACTGTTGAGCTCACCATACCGTCAGACGACGGCGCCTTTGTTCGAGTTACTATCAAAGATGCTTATTATTGTCCAGTTACACCCGCTAACCTTCTCAGCCGACAATCAATGCTCGACGCTGGAATGGAATGGAATATGCGGTCCAATTCTATTGTGTACGCTCACACGCCCAAGACCACCAAATGTGGCACTCTTCGAGGAGGAGTACCGGTTATACCGACTTCCAAGCCTCCCGACTTCAGTCAAAATCGGATCACCCCCGGCCACGCCCTACTCGCCTCAATCAATTACCAGACCATGCACCGACGTTTGATGCACGCCGGGAAGGAGACGGTTATCAAGGCTTGCAAGGATGCTGGGATCGATCTCAAGAACATCAACAACGACTTCTGCGAGGACTGTGTCTTCGCCAAGTCACAAGACGTTATTCCCAAGACATCTCACCCGGTCGCTACCAGGCCATTGGAGTTCGTCAGGATTGACGTCATCTACAACAAGGAACCAGGCCACCTTGGCTACCATTATACGGTCCACTTCGTCGACGTTCTTACAGGCTATCACTGGGTACGGTTCTGTGCCAATAAAGGTGATGCTTTTGAAGCCATCAAAGAATGGAAGACTTGGGTGGAGACTCAAAGCGGCCTCAAAGTCAAGGTTGTTGGCATCGATGGCGGTCCTGAATTTGGATTGTCAACCTCTGATTTCCAAAAGAGCAAGCTTGTCGTGTGGGCAAGACAAGAAGGCATGGAGATCTACAAGTCGACGGCCCATTCACCCTGGATGAACGGCAAAGCAGAAGCGGCGGGCAAGATTATCATGACGCGCAGCCGCGCCTTAATTATCGAGCACAAGATTCCAGTCAAACTGTGGCCCTTTGTCGTCGACAGCGTAGTCAAGATTCTCAATCTTCTACCTTCCAAGTCCAACCCAGAACACAAGAGTCCTCACGAACTCTTCGCCAGAGCAGCCAATTTGCCAGAGTCGTCAGTCAAACCGTATATACGCCACCTTCGCAGCTATTTCTGTACTGCTTACTATCACATCAAACCTCAGAAGAGAGTGCAAGGCGACAAGTTCGCTCCCAGGTCACGAAAGGGTAAGCTTATTGCTTACGATGACCTTCACGGCCGTATTTACCGTATTTGGGATGAAGAACTGGGAAAAGTCGTCCGGGCAAGTGCTGTCCGATTCCATGAGGGTGATCACGACAATCAGGATCTTCCTGTCGAGGATACTGAATATGAAGTCATCTTTAATGACCAGACTGTTCAGGAGATTGAGGAGGTTATCGCCAAAGGCCAGAACATCTACGTTACAGTGCAAAATACGTGGAAGCCGGATGTCGAGGAAGAACCACAAAGCCCCAAAGCACGGGAGCCACCTTCCCAAGACTCATCGCTCAAAGCGCCACCCGTCCAAGAACCCTTTCAACCTCCATATCTCACGCCTTCTGCTACACCAGACCCTAGCTCACAGTCTACACAGGTCACCCAAGCCCAGTCTGAGAAGACTACCGCTGAGATAGCGATTCCCTCTATTGAACCCGTCGAAGAAGTCATCTTTCAGATGGACGACGAGGACTACAGAGATTTGGAAGGAGAGGCTCCCATTCCCCCAGAGGAACACCCTTTCCCGGAAGATTCACCAAATCTGGGCGTGACAGCCGCTTCGGCAGTTCGACCCCAGACTCCTCCGCCTTCCCCTTCCCCTGCCAATATCCCTCTCCCTCCCCCTACCCCTGGAGAGGACATGGTGGAGCAACCGGTACAACCTCAACAAGCTTCTTCTCGACCTCGACGAGCTGCGGCACAGAAACCTGAAGGTTTCAAATATGGCCAGGAGCAAGTCACTGATGGCACCAAGAAGCTGGTGTTCTTACACGGTAATTCCCCACCCAAAGCTCATTCTCTTCCAGTCTTTTATTATGGCATTGATGAACCACGCATGGTTCTGCCTCAGGTTGTCTGCCTTACCTCTATCAAAGTCGACAATGATCTTCGACACCTTGATAAATCTAGTATCCCGAAGAACTATCGTCAGGCCCGGCGCTTGGCCAACTACGAGAAGTGGTGGCTTCCAGCGATGAAGCGCCAGGTCCAGTCCTTGGAAGATCAAGAGGTGTACTTCCTTGTCAAAAAGAAGGATGGTATGAAGGTCTTGCCAGGAAAATGGGTGTACGACGAAAAGATGGATCCACATACCTGTGAGCTTACTGCCCGAGCAAGATGGGTGGTGTGCGGTAACTTCGAAGACGGAGCCTGGAATTTCCAAGATGTTTACGCGGCTGTGGCAAACAGCGTCAGCGTTCGAACCTTCCTCGCCCTCATGGCTGCCTTGGACTTGGAATGTCACCAGTTCGACTTCAACACGGCCTTTCTCAACGCGCCCATTCCACCCGACGATATCTACTACGTCCAACAGCCAACTGGCCTTGAGAAAGGCCACGACATGGTCTGTCAACTGCGACGAGCACTCTACGGCCTCAAGCGCAGCCCTCTATATTGGTTCAAGACTTTGGTTCCCGTTATGAAGAAGTGTGAATTCGAGCCACTTGGTGCGGACTGCTGTCTCTTCCGTAACGACAAGCTTGGTGCAATGATTGTCCTGTATGTGGACGACTTCCTCATTGCAGCAAAGACTGTCGATACCATCAACGAGATTAGCGGGAAGCTTGCTCAACACTTCAAGATGAAACACCTGGGAGAAGTCAAGACGTTCTTGGGCTACGAGGTTATTCGGAATCGCTCACAACGTACAGTCTTTGTGACACAGGAACGATACACCAGATCGTTGATATCCAAGTTTGGGTATGAGGGTCTTCACGGCGTCAAGTCTCCTTGGCCACCCAACTTCGTCTTGGAAGATGGCGATTTACTCCCCAACGAAGGGAAGCCCTACTTGAAAAAGACAGGCTCGGTCAATTACCTCTCGACAGGCACCAGACCTGACATCACTTACACGGTAAATCGATTGTGCGAAGGCAACGCTAAACCTACAAATCGCCATCTTGAGTTGATGAAGCACCTCTTCCGCTATCTCATCCATACGGCTGAGCTTGGTATCCTTCTAGGTGGAAAGCCGTCTCCAGGCAACGACAACGTCATCAATCTGCGTCTTCGAGCATATGCGGACGCCTCATTTGCCGACGAGAAATTCACGCGCCATTCGACAGGTGGCCATGTGGTGTTTTTGGGAGCTGGTCCAGTATACTGGAAGTCGAAGAAACAGGCCTTTGTGACACTGAGCACCACCGAGGCTGAACATTCGAATCTCACCCCGGCAGCAATATCTGCGCTTTGGATCTCGGGCATGCTTGCAGAGCTGGGAGCTCCCCAGCCAGCACCCTCGTTGATCTACACCGACAGCAAGAACGCTCGCCACCAGGTCATGAATCCACAGGTCGCGGCAAGGAACAGATGTATCGATGTACGGTATAAGTGGTTGATTGAGCAAGTCCAACAGGGCAAGTTCACGGTCACCCACATTCCCGGCGATGAGATGATCGCTGATGGCTTCACGAAGCCACTCAACGCTGAAAAGCACGGAAAATTCGTCAAGATGCTAGGTTTGGCATCCAGGAACATTGTCTCGTAAGGAAGCAGGTACATAGGGAAACAGGACAGGGCTGAAAGAGCCACAGGGGGTGGAAAACACCAAGAAAAGTATCACGGGATTGTTTACATGTATGATAGCTGTGTTGGTCTGAGGGGGTGTGTTGGGCCGCCGCCACCTGGTAAGGTTGGCTGGCACTTGGCCCACTTTCACTTCCAGACCACACCAGTATTTTTTCCTTCTTTCTTTCTCTTCCCGTAGCGCTTTCTTTCTGAATCATCCACAATATCATCACTTCTTTCTTTGATTCAGCGGATCGCTTCCCACAGTACGTCTTTATTTCAACGTGTCGCGGGTCTCCTTCTTTGTGTCTCCATCTTCTCACTGATTAGCCCCTCCCTCCACAGCACGAAGCAAAGCCTGGCCATACTCCGAGTCCACCGCCACGTGCTTGAAAGGGCTAAAGTTCCTAATCCCATAGTCACGCATGATGTGCGCGTCCATTGCCTTAGGGTCAGGATACTGCTGACCACAGATCCTGCGAGAACCATCTGGTGCGCCTTGGTGGCAAATCATCCTTCCATCTCCAGTGTGGTTGTGCCTTGGTACATGATAGCACTCGTGTTAGTTGATTTAAGGTTTAAAATTGCTACCTCTAGCAAGGTAGAAGACTTCCATGGGACAGGGGAGGATGTGTCGGATGTATTGATCACGTACAGAGTGCTGTGCTCCGCAATGCCTTTCAGCCACATGCGATAGACCTGGCACCACTGGTAACCGGGACTCGGGAGTACCGCCGCGTTGGGGTCGAACTGCTGGATAAACCAGTCTTTTTGTCAAAGTTAACGGAGTACATGTAATCACGAGGGCACGAGAAACGCTGGTCAACATATTGATTGAAAGAGAAGAAGCAAGCGGGACGAGAAAGAGGGTGGGGGACCCTATATATATTTATATGTGTGGATTGACTGAATCCCAAGATAACCATCTTGCTCAACACTTATTGACCAGGGGGACCAGGGGCACCGGGGGCAGACTGGTCATTCTGGGCACTAAGTGTAGCATCACGTTAGCATCACAGGCAATGAGAGGAGAGTACTTTAGCGTTGGGTTCAATGTTGGAGTTCTCCGCCATTATAACATACCTGGTTTGCGAGGCTTCCTCGCCTGTGGCGCCATTCTGAACCTGGGGAGAGGCTAAAGGCGCACATGCAGTGTGCCGGCGAGCATCAGGGGCAAGAACGACAGCTCGGTTGGCAAGACCAAGTTCGGCTAACTTTTCGGCCACAAAGTCTTTGACCCTGTCCCTGACAGCAACCAAAAAAAGGGACCTTTACCAAGAGATCCGTCAGCGTCTACTCATATATTTGCTCAAGGTACGCAGTAATCTTTGTGTGTTCATCAACATGCTTCGAAAACTTTCACACGCACAAAACTTTTAGGCTTACCTTTCCATAGAGTCTCCAGAGTAAATTTCATCCAGGAAGGCCACGTCGATTGCTTCATCAATCAAGGATGAGAGATTGCTGAACGGTTGTCTAGGTTAGCAAATCTGAGTCGTGGTAGATCTACATGATGATGAACTTACAAGGCAGACATGGTTGGAGGTAGCGGTTTTTGATGATCAAGTGTAAGGAGGCTTGTTCTCAGCTTTCCTTGATCGGAAGTTGGTGATGAACAAAGGACGGAAAGAAGGAAAGGTTCTTGCAAATCACTGGAATATCCCATATTTATCCTGTCCAATTCTACAACTCTTATTCAGTGTCTTCACAGTATAGGAACAATAGCAACTTTTCCCTTGAGATCAGACGGAAGGAACAAAAATCTTTGAAACAACGCTGAAGAAATGAATAGCACTTGAGGCTTCATGTCGGGCAGCTTAAGTGGAGTCTTTAGTCAAGAGAGAACACCCACAGTCCCCTATACACCGGACTGAAGAGTGACTGGCGTACCTACAAGGTACAGGTATCGACCAGTTTGACCCCAATACTCGTTCTCCCACGGCCTCTATGTCGTGCGAGAAGTTTGAGAAGTGGCTGCGAGCCATCGGATGAAATGCTTCTGGGCCCAAAATACACGGTGAGCGTCCGGATAGCCCCTCCCTCCGAACCCGACCGCACTTCCCAGGCACAAGCAATAGGTACACAACTGGGCAACTGTTGGAAGTCCGTGCCCTGGGCCGCCCATTCACTGGCCTCGCCCATTCACCGGCACTCCCTTCCAGGTATTTAGGCTGCCCTAGTTTCCGTTTCTCCTCTTCCATTAGACAACAACAATCAAGCCCTTTTTCGTTGTCGCCTTTTCCAGCCCACCGATAGCAACTCATTCTCTGCGCGGCACCTCTTGATAACAAGTTCCAGTCTGTATGGGATGCCCGGTGCCAACCACACAGCTTCAGGCTCTTACATTAGCGTGTCCATCGCCAACGTCATATTCCTTACTACCCGGGCGTCCTCGTGGGCGAGGGAGAGCGTCAGGAGCTCGCGGAAGCAGGTGTCGGCCGGGACGGGTAGGCGAGGAGTTAACCTCCCCGCACGCACCAAAAACTTACATGTACGCACCCCCACCCAAGAACAGCTGACGACACCTGACATCGTAAATACCGTTTCTGCCCGCAAAGTTTCACCTTTTGAATACACACTAGGTTTTGAACTTGAATACTCCAGCGACATTGATATAGAAGAGGAAAACGATGAGAAAGATGATGAGAATGATATTGATCCATGTCTTACTCAGAAAGACGAAGGCAATGAAAAGAGTGAAATGAGAGGAGAGGAAAGGGAGATGGGAGGTATAATCGAAATATCGTCAACTTCCTCACTTTCTTTCTAACCTCTCTGAGCGATGTTGTCTTCTCCAAATCATCGCCAGTTTCCTGTCTGTGCAAGATTTATAGGGCTATCATTTGGCTGTACAAGTCAACGACAATTCTTCTAGGTAGGTAACAATTATTGTTTTCACGCCCAAAACAGGCCAAAATTACATGACGGCTGACTGATGGAAAAAGTGCGTACCTGTAAGTTTTTGGTGCGTGCGGGCAAGTGAACTCTAGGCGAGAGGAGGTAAATCTGTTGATGTGGCGCCAGACGGCGGAGGCGGCGTGAAGTACTGGCCATTCTCGAGGTTCTCGTTGGCGGGTCCGTTCCGATCAGGAGTTTGGACGTCAACGTTGTTGGCTGGGGCGGCGGCGGCGTCTTCTTCGTCGCTCACGCTAGTGTTGCTTTCCCTGTCTTATCCATCGCCAATGCTAAAGATATCGTCCATATCGTCATCGCTATTGCCCTCAGCTCCCCTCGTGAGCTCAATCTGCCAAAAGGCAGAATCTAAGGTAGGTACTTCCGGATCAGGAGCGTCAGGCTAGGACTCCCAGTTCGAGACGCTTAGTTAGGTACATCCAGTCTAGAGGCACGAAGGCCTCACGTGCTTGTAATCACTATTCAACGTGTGCTCTGAACAACTGAATGTCTTCAGTCCAGACTACAAGAATTCTCTGACATCTAGTGACTTATTGTGTCACCTCAGGACTGCCTATTGTCGTTTACGAAATAATGTTTCTCATTCGATTATTCCTTCAAGTTCTATTTGCCTCTTTGCCCCTCTTTGTCTTAACTCCACTATGTGTACGGATGCCTTGTCTCGAGGACTTTCGTTTCTTCCATCTGATCAAAACGGGATCATTGCTATCGTAGTGGAAAAATCAGGAAGTTGGGTAGCCTACTTGGGGGGTAGAAGTCTACTTGTGTCGAGTACAACTATCAAGGAAAAGACGAATACTGCCCTCATTGCTCACAGGGTTGAAGATGCAAAGGGTGAAAATGCTTATTCCACATCTCGCATATATTCTTCAAGACATAGTGTCAGGTAGTGGGTGATGGCCTCTCCGGCGGTCTTCTGGATATCATGGGTGCCTTCGTCCCCCTCAGCCATCAATATGACTCTGCCCCGGTGAGCAGGCGATGGAGAGTCATCCGACAACAAACCGCTCACAAACCGAGACAGAAGAATCTTCGGGGAGTCACTCCTAGCCCCGTCACAATGGCGCCGATAGCGTCCTGCCATAACAACAGTTGCCAACTCGACAATAGCTTGCGATGATGAAATACATACAATATACAATGGGGGGCTACAGCAGATTCATCAGGCTATGGATCTGGCGATGGCCTAGGTCCATGAGGAGGAAGCCCAGATGTTGAAGGAGAGGTTTATCTCTCTCTCGTTTCCTGGGAACAAGTTATATGCCATCTCCTCCTCCGGGAATTCGAGTCCAGAACAGGGGTAGGAGCTCGGGAGGACCATTCCCACAAGAGATGTTGCCATGACAGCATAGAGTTCGGTAATCATGTTCTGGGTGCGATCGATGTATTGGGGGCTGTGGACATCGAATGTTGATTTGTTCGCTATGGTATTTCGGGTTACTATTCTCTCGGTCTATTTGATAGGGTCGAGGTAATCGTTCAAACGGAGCTTTTAGTAATATTGCTCGTACTATGGGTGGTAGACTATAAAGTCCTCAACTTTTACGGGAGGGAATGTCTTGTTGTCGCGAATGTTTTTGGAGCGGAATGCGACAAAGCGTAGGAGAGTTTGCCACATCGAAGTTTCCAGCAGAATGTCTAGGGTAATGGATGAGGAGGCGGAGAGAGCGAAGGAGTGGAAGGGGATGACTTTTGAGGAGAGGAGGGATTTGGGATTCCATTAGTTAACTCGGTTGAAACGAAGAAGTTAAGGTAGGTAGGTTTTCGTCCACAATGGCTTGACATGTCCCGTATGCTGAAATCTCTCATCGCATTCGGATTCAACTGAGGTAAGTTCTTGGGATCCCATACTAGGAGTTCAGGGCTAATTCGAAGAACAGAACCACTACAACAGCAGTAGTAGCAACCGCGACAGCAACAATAGCAGCACGATGGCGCCCAAGAAGAACACACACGCAAAGATCAAGACTGCGACCGAGCATCATACAAGATCCATCAATGCCTACTTTCTACCAATCCCTAGGCCCGCCGTCGCTACCCCCGCTGTCCAGCCCATTGCATCCTATCAAGTGCGCCTCCACCCCATCGGACCTGGAAGGTGACGATGAGGGTAAAAACTCTGAGGATGGACCTGCCTTATTCAAAGCTAATGTTCAATGGTTTTGAACAATACCTGAGTTCCGTACCTGCCCTGATAACTCCTTGACTCCCCAAAAGGACTGGAAGCCCTACTACTTGGAGCGTCAGGCCGGTAATGATTCCAAGGAGGTATACGTAACCCCAGCTGACCATGAACGTGTATGCCTTCTCCGTTCCTTCCAATATCAAGTTCATAATTCACCGTCCGGTCTTCAATACTCACTGCCAGTCGTCAACAGCTGGAACCAGACACAGGACGACCGAAAGACTCTCACAATATCTCAATAGTATTGTGCCCCGCGTGTGCCTATTCTGCCTTCTCCGTTTGAAATTTTGCGTCGACTTCAGACGACTTCCACATCTAATCAGCAGTACCCCGCGCTGCCTTTTCCGCCTTCTCCTTCTCTTCCTTGTTGAATCTTGCGACAGCTTTCGACTTCCACTTGCACTCGCACTTTTTCAGTTGCGCTTGCCAGAACTCCAAGCAGTCAGGAATCAAAAGCAGCAAGATCAACTCTACCTCTACCTTCCTCCTTCACTCCTTCTCACACCCCGCAAGAACTTCCTCCTTGCACTTACCTCACCGACGCTCCTGCCGCCGAAACCAACACTGAGCAAACCAAGCCAAAATCCGAATCTCCGCTCAACCTCATCCTTGTCGCCCTCACTTTTGCAAGGAACTCTCCCCTGCCACTTACCTCAACTTCAAGATGTCTGGCAACCAAGACGACAAGACCAAGCCTGTGTACCACTCGTACCACAGCTACCTGTTCTCCGAAGTCATCAAGCTTCACCCCAACCTCACCACAACCTCACCACAGAAGAGCTCGAAAAAGAGTTCAAAACCAAAGTTGAAGGCCCGTACGTCACCAAGTTCGTCGACGAGTACGGCGCCTTCTACCAGGGGCAGATATCTCGCGACCAAGTCGACGCGCTCAAGGCGCTCGTTGCGGATGAGTTGATGTGGAGCCGCTACAGTGAGTACAACCTGGAAATGAAGTGAAAACAAGGAGCTTTTGTCGATTCCTGATTCTAACCTTTTGTGCTTCCAGTCTACGGCAAGCCTGAGGTTGGCCTCACCCCAGAGCAGGGCAGCAGTATCATTGCCAGGTTCAAGGCCAAGATCGCTAAGCTCGAGGAGGAGCATGCCGACGAGAAGAAGAAGCTCCAGAGCGAGCATACTGCCGCCCATGAAGCCTTCTTAAAGGGCGCCTGCCAGAACTACAGCAGCCAGATCGAAAAGCTTTGCGCTGAGAACAAGCGCCTCAAGGAGGAGAACGCGGAGGTCAAGTGCCTCAAGGAGAACCTGATCAAGAATGAGGTAAAACAGTATGACAAGTTCGAAGTGCTTTTGGCCGAGAAGATGGACCTTGAGAAGGACATCACGAGGAAGGAGGCAAAGATCAAGGGCCTTGAAGATGAGGTCGCCGAGTTGAAGAAGGACAACGCGGAGCTGGAGAAGGGCCTCGCCAAGCTCGGGGAGTATACGGGGATGCTGAGGAGCAATTTCACCAATTCGATGGCTGCTCTTGATATTTCTCGCGACTCGGTTATTCAGGCTTCCCAAAAAGAGAAGAATCTCGAAAAGAAGGTTGCTGAGCTCGAGGACGAGAACAAAACGATGAAGGAGGGCATCAGTGCCTTGGCCATGCTTGTGAAGAAATAGGCCGGTCAAGGGCAATATGGGACCGACTTGAAAGGAACAGGAATGGCAGAGATAGAGTCGGATAAGGGATAATGGTTTTGTTTGTTCGTTTTAGCTCGGAGTTCGGGTCCTGTTTCGAAGGGAAGGGGTTCGCCTTACTGAAAAATTTGACGACGAGGATGATAGCTTTGGTCAACTCGGGTCTGTCAACGGTCAGAGTGTCAATGGCCAGAACGGGCAAATGGGACACAAAAGGCAAGCAACAAGAGAGGAGCTCCTAGGCTGATACCATAAGGTCGGGGAAAAACGATAAACAACAAGAGCTGAACTCAGCTCACCACACTTTTTTGCTCCACGCACCACCCTTCAAGTGATTTCGTGACTATAATTTGGGCAAAGGTAATCAGTTCAGCTCGACAAAAACGAGGGATAGTAAAGAGCATTATGCTCAGTATTCCCATTCAGACAAGCTCAAACCCCTGTGTTAACTTTCCCATGCGTTTTCACTTTTGACATCCACCCTAGGCGTTTTGTTCCCTCATCAAAGCCCTAATGTCGTGGTGGACAAGCTGATCCCGGTATTGAATATGCCAGCCACCGATAGAGCCAGCTCTCTTGGCCGAGGTGAAGCAAACCTCTCATCCAACGGGGCAATTATCCGATGATACGCAGCAAACAGAACCTCACGCTGCCGCACCTTCAGCTTCCGAGATGGTGGATGAGGTAGACTTGGCAACCGCATCTGTAAGTTAAACCTTTCGATGCCTTCGCCAATCCATAGAGGTATCTAGGGTATTTTCAATGTGTTCTTGCGACGGCTGGGTTGGGAAAGATCTCATCTAGACCACCAGGAGACTAGGTATGAGGTCGGCCAGTTAAAGATAGGATAAGACCTAAATCGAGATGTACAAGCACCTCTTTTACCGAAAAGATGGCTTTTGCCCAGGTTCCTCAAGCTAGAGGTACTCTAGCTCACATTAGCAATCTCCAGAAGAAGGTTGGCGACCTAGAAGCCAGGAACGAGAGGATGGCAGACATAGGGTACCAGTATTTTAGGTGACCACCAGGACAAAGCTGGTAATGGTTCGGTTGGGAGTATATGACAAGTTACAACGGCATTCCGCTCGTTTATAGCGTGCTCGCTGATGCCACGGAGAAATGTGTGGAGGAAATCGTGAGCAACTCTGTCGAAGTATCTTACTAGAGGCAGCCAACGAGTGTTCCGATGGAGGGTCAGGGAGGTAAAGAGGAAGCAGAGTGAATATGCGGAAGAAGGTCGACGTATGTGAAGAGGAATGAGCACCTTCGGGCCCTTCCTCCCCTTGTTCCATGCTGTCCTGTCTGTTGTAACCACTGTCCTATCAAAATACAGGAGCTGAGAAGACAAGAAGCACAGTCTTGGACTATGATTCGATCTGAGGACATGGATGAGGGATGGGGTGAATCAGGTTGGGACTATGCGCTATGGGCACTGACACGCTGCTGAGGCGGTATGGGACCGACCTGAAGAGAAATGAAGGACATTCAGTCTCTGAGTGTTTGGCAAAGTCCGATACAATGCAGAGGTGATTACTAGCGAGGTTGGGCAGGAATATCATCTCGATATACGCCGCCTCTGGGCACACGGGAAAGCAGAACTCAGGAACAGTATGATTGCCAAACAGAAAGTTGCACAAAGAGCGTTACATGAAAAGATCTAAACGAAAGATCTGATGGAACTACGAACCGCAACCAGCCATACTTTCGAGACTGGGACTCCCCCAGCCACGTTCCTTTCTTGCGATATTTGTCACTCTTGTGAGTGTATGCGGTAAAGTGGTGTACGTGATCAGCCATAAGTGGATTGCGCACCAATAGCTCGCTCTTTAACTGTGGAAGCTGCCACCATTCTTCAACTCTAGGACCTTATCCATGATATCAGGCCATCGCGGGTCAGTAAACACCTCGTGTTTGAGACTCCTCCCGCAGCCCAGCTTGGCAAGTTCGGATTACTCGTCAGTTCGCTTTAGACCCACGCATCGCAGAGATTTCTGTATCATCGGCGAACGTTGTGGATGTCGTCGAGAAGAAAGCTCCGATTCGTGGAGGAGGTGGTGCAGGCAATCCAGTGCGAGAAAGACTCTTCGCACCTGCAAACATGCAGGTCCGAATGCCTTTTAAAGGTTTATCTCGATCAAGCGGTGTGTGCGGTGAATAGTAGAATAAGCTGCAGGTTGGGCAGCGCCGGATGTTTGCGGCTCCGTATACGCGACGGTATTTGCCGTTGAACATTTGGCGACTGCTCATGGGTCCCAACCTCATTCGTATCAAACGTCCTCTTCATATCCCTTCACCATGTATCGTGATAAAAGGAATGTGAACTAAGAGCAGGCGAGAACTGTCCGGAATGTGTGCTTGCTGGGGTGTCAGATGGCTCCATTGTTTTACCAGCGACATAGAGCTTACCACTCTTGGCAGAAACAATTGTGCCGGTTCGGAACCAGCCCTCTTGATCGACTCCGACAGAGGGCAGCATGCTTATATACCCGCTCATGAGACTCGGCGATCGGACAAGCAGCTCTCCGGGCCGACCCTCTGTCGTGCTATCATGACCCTTGTGAGCAACCAGGCGGATCTGGTACCCTTCAAGTAGCCGGCCGATGGATCCTGTCTCATCATGCTCGCCCCAGCGGAAGAGCGCAGCAACCCCGAACTCCGTCATCCCCCAGATCTGAGATGCGGTCGCTTCCGGGTGGAGGACGGCCTTCAGCTTCCCTAGGGCAGCCGAGTCGATCGGCCCTCCACCCACGCCAATGTAGCGGAGGGTGACCAAGCTGTCTCGGAGGCCAGGGTCGTCGAGGTTAGTGAGGACCTTGATGATCGCTGGTGTGAGATATGTTTCAGATACCCGATACCTGTCGACGTAGTGGATAAAGGGTTTGTAATAGAATTTGGACATGATGGACACGGGATGGCCATATCGTACGGCGGCAAAGAGGTTCCACACGATGCCAAACATATTGTAGAGCGGGAGACATGTTAGCCGGACCACGGACCCGCCGTAGGGCTCATCCCCCGGGCGGAGCGCCATATGTTGGGCCACGAGGGCATGGTGCGAAACGGCGACCAGTCTGGGGATGCCGGTAGGCCCAGGAGCGGAATAGTAACAAGCAATTGTTTGCTTCATGGCCAATTCGCTGCTCAGTATCATCCAGTCGGAATGACCATGGCGAAGGAGATCAGTGAGTGGCCTGCCTGGGGCATTATGGCCTAGGGTGGTTCCGAGTGGTTGTTCCACCCGACTCGGGCTGCGGAGTATTTGCTGGAGGACCTGGTGGTCGAGAGCTTCCACAAAAAAGACATTGTAGGGCGGGATGCCTTGTTTCGTGTATACCTCGTGCACGATGGCCGTCTTGGTCTGGGTTGTGATGACGAATCTGGAGGCTGAAAGATGGGCGACATGGTTCAAATCTTGGAACTGGTGGGCCGGGTTAGAGGCGCAACAGATGCCACCTGCGCCTACGATGGCGAAGAACAGGGAGGCGTAGAGATACTGTGATTTTTTGTTGGTGAGTCAAAATTCGAGTGCAAAAACTCTTTCTCTCAAAGCGGTAGTCCGCAGTCCGGAGGAAAGGGGGAGCAAAGCTGGGGAAGGGAAGCCGTTCTTGGACGGGACAGGGACCCGGACAATGGGGACAATGTGGGTCTATGTAGATCCCGGATGAGAAGGGAAAAAGGGGGGACGTCGGCGACCATTGCTGCAATCTTCGTTGGCTCGCATGCAGAGCAGAGTGGAGGACAGAAAGAACAACGCACAAGTGATACTCACATGGTTTCCGAGATGCAATAACACAGCATCGCCCTTTTTGAGTCCGGCCGCACGCAACCCCGCGACCAGTCTCGACACCAATGCTATCGTTTGACTGGCGGATAACGAGAGGATGGGGTCATCGGCATCAATGAAGAGCGGCTTGTTCTGGTCGTAGAGATGTTGCCTATCGAGTGCGAAGCTGACGATATCCGAGATGGGAATCCTTTGGCCTGATCCCGCAGCGCTTGAAGGTTGAGGGCGGTTGGGAAGACACCCCATGGTGTACTGGGTTGAACCTGGAGACCAACAAGAACACAGACGACGACTCCACCGTGGTTTGGCGATCTGATCGACTTGAATCTGAAGAACGGTACACGTGTAGGTGATTTTCTCGCAAAGTCCCTTCATGTCTGGAATGAGGAACAAATGGTGATACAGGGCAGCCAAGATGATTGCTTTACCAGAACCACTGTCCCATTTCTGCGCACCTCGCTGCTACGTCCATCTCGCCAGGCACAGTCCATGAGTCTAGGCGTAAGCTGTTCTCGAAGGCGTTCAGGTACGGCGTAGTGGTCTTGGGTGGGCGCCATATTGGCCTCGGGGACCAATGGGATGACAGGAAAGAAGGGCGTTGTTGTGGCGAGCACCCAGCTCAGCTCACCCATGGGTCTGACCTCGGCCCCTAATCGGAGCGCCAAGACTATGCCAAGATAGATATCGGATTATATTCGGAGCACAAAGGAGTGTGCTAAGACTTGAATTCATATTGTACTCCATTAACAATTTTGAAGCCTACCTAAATTTGCTTGTTTGAACCAAATATTGCCTAATTGAGAAGACTAGTCTAGGATTAATTGTAGGCAAGTATGGAATTAATTTATGTAATATAATTAAGAATACATCTTATTAATTAGTAGAATGAAATTGAATTTTATATTTGCTTAATATTATATAAAATATATATTTATAAATATTAAAAATAGGAAGTATATATTTAAAATAGTAAATTAGTTCTTAATATTTATATTAATTTAAAAAAAGATTTTAAATTTAAGAATTAAATAAAAATAAATAATGAATTTAAATTAATTATACTTTTTAAAGTCTTAAATTCTTTATATTATATTTTAGAAAGTAATTCAATTCATATATTATTTATATATAAATATACTAATATGAGACTAGTCTAATACTAATATATAATACTTATTTAAAAAGAAAATTTAAAGGTAAGACTTTATTAAAAATAAATAACTATAATAAATTTATTATATTTTAGAAAATAATTTAAGTTATATATTATTTATTAATAATTATATTAATACGAACCTAGTCTAAAATCTGTTGTAAATTAGTATAGATTTAATATATATAATATATTTGAGAATCTGTTTTATTCGTTCGTAAAATAAATTTCAATTTTATACTTGTTCAATCTTATATAAAATATATAGTTGAACATAATAAAAAGAGGAAATATTTATTTAAGATTATATATTAATGTTTAATAGAAAGTATTAAAATATATATTTATTTAAAAAGAAACTTTAAGTGTAAGAATTAAATAGAAAATAAATAATTAATCTACATTTATTATATTTTTTTTAATCTTAAATTTATTACATTATACTTTAGAAATTAATGTAATTTATATATTATTCCTTGAAAATAATACTAATACAAGATTAATCTAATATTAATATAAATTGTATATATTTTTAAATATTAATAGTAATAATTTAGTAGAATGTAAAATGAAGTATAGGAATACTTTCTCTCTATATATATATATCTAAAAACTTGTTTTTATTATATACTTAGTTTATGAATCGTTATAGAATAATTTCTTGGATTTATAATTTATGTTAATTATTATTAATCTTATTCTATTAAATTAAATAAAATGAAATAATAAATTTAAATTCTTTAGGATTATTTAAGTTTTAAATTGTATATATCTTACCTTTTTATATAATATTATTATTTATTATTAATTATAATAATTTAAAATTCGTTTAATTGTAGTAGAACTTATATAACGTTTAGTATTATAATAATTAAATATAATAGAATTTATAATTAAAGATGTAAAAGTATTTCTTATTTATTTAAATTGACACGTATTATATAATTTTATAATATATTCTTATAGAATACTACTTTATATTAATAAATATTAAAGTATTATAATATTTATTAAAAAAACTAAATAATAAATTTTACTTCTTTGGGTTCGTTTAAAGCTTAATCTTTATATAGTCTATTTTATTATGAAATCTTAAATATATATTATTTATCTTTACTTGTATTAATTCGAGATTAGTTTACTATTAATACGAATATGTTCTTAATAGATTAATATTTATATTGTTTTATTATTGAATTTATATAGTCTTAAGATAATTTTAATTTTAAAATTTAATTTTGTTTTATTCTTATAAAGTATAATATTACTATTAATACTGTATTATTAAAGTCTGCCTTGTTTTACCGCCTTAATTATATATTATATATATTATTATATAATAGTTATATGATTAGCGTGCGCGCCTTTATTGCTTTTGGTAGAATTTTCTACTATAAAATCCCTCCTCAAATTTCATTTCTAATTTTAAACCTTCCCCTCTTTCTTTCCTTTAATAACCTTATTTCGATTTTAGTACGTATAATATCTTTCTTAGATTTTTTTCAAACTATTCTCAAAAATTCTTTAAATTTATTTTTACTTTAATTTTATAATAGTAATATTTAATAGTCTAATATTAATTTTAGATTAATTGGAATTATAATTAACAGCTATATTCTTTCGCTCGCGTATTAACGCTATAAGAATTTGCCCTAGCGTTCTAAGGGTATTGCTCCCTTTATTATTAACGATGTATATTTAATACAATATTAATTTATAATTAATTGAAAATTAATTCCCAGAAGGTAAATCTAATCAGGTATTAATTTATATTTAATTTAGGATTGATTGAGATTCTGGTAAGTGAAAGGAATAAAAACCGTTAAGTAAATTTAATGATAAGTAGGAGAGGGATAATATTTTGAAAGAATAAAATTAGAAGGTAAATCCATTCCGGTATTAGTCTATACTTAGTCTAGAGCCAATCTAAACTTACTTAAGATTTTAGTAAGTAAAAAGAATAAAACTATAAAATAAAGTTAGTTTTAAGTAAGAGTAGTTAAGATTCTAGTAAATAGAAAAAATGAAATTAGAAAGTAAATTTAATCCGGTATTAATCTATACCCAATTTAAAATTAATAATTTAACCCAATATCATTTTATATTTAATTTAGGACTACTTGAAATTTTAATAAGTGAAAAGAATAAAACTATAAGGTAATTTTAAATTTAAGTATAAGTCGTTAAAATTCTAACAAAAATAAAAAAAATAAAAGTAGAAGGTAAGTTTAGCCCGGTATTAATCTATATTTAATATAAAATTAATTAAAATTTTAGTAAATAAAAGGAATAAAGTTTAAATATAAATATAAATTTAAATTTAGTTTATTTTTATATCGGATTCGTTAGGATTCTAAAAAATAAAAAGAATAAATTTTAAAATAAATATAATCTTAAGTCGGAATAGTTAGCTTTTTAGTAAATAAAAAATATAAAATTATAAGGAGAGTTTAATTTTAAATCAAATAATTAATGTTATAATAAATAAAAGAAAAAGAATTAGAATATAAATATAGTCCGAAATTAATTTATAGTTAGTCCTATATTAATTAAAATTTTAATAAATAAATAGAATTAAACTATCAAATAGGTTTAACCCTAAGCGAAAAGAATTAGGATTCTAATTAATAAAAAATATTAAAATTATATAATAAATCCAATTTAAAACCGGACTATACTTAGTATTGTATTAAATAGAAAGAATAAAATTAGAATATAAATCCAATCTAAAATTAATCTATATATAGTTCGGGATTAATTGATTTTCTATTAAATTAAAAAGAAATTAAACCGTAAAATAATTCCAACCTTAAGCTAGACTAATTAAAATTTTAATAAAAAAAAGAAGAAAAATTACAATACAAATCTAGTCTAGAACTAATTTATATTTAGTACCGAGCTATTTAATATTCTAATAAATAAAAAGAATAAAATTAAAAAAATAAGTCTAATCCGAATTAACTCTATATCTAATCCTAAATTCGTTAAGATTTTAAAAAAAATAATAATAAAAGTATAAAGTAGTAAGAGTTTCTTATGTTAAAAGAATACTATTAATATATTTCAAATTTAAATATATTTGAAGTTAATATTAAATGAAGTTTTATTTATATAATCTTTCCAAATGGTATAAATAATTAAACTAAATTTTTTTCTTTTTTTTAAAATTAGGAGAATAAAAGTTTAATGAAGTTTATATAGTAGTAATATATATATATATATAAAATATTTAGAAATATATATAAAAATATATAAAATATATATAGAGAAATAGGATTAGTAAATATTTTGTTAATAATTTATTAATTATTTCTTTTCGTTTTATATAAGTTGTTTTTAAGTTAATTAGATTCCTATATTATATTAGAATTCAATATGAAAATTATAAATTAAAGAGTAAATTCGGGAATTTAACGTAAAATTTAATTTAAAACTTTATAAAGATTTTAACGGTTTTTTATTAAATTTCTTTTATTTTTTAATCATTTTCTATTCTTTCTTTTTAAATATTAATATTTGAATAGAATTGAAAACAGAGTTTTTAATATGTTAAAATATTAATTGATATTTTAAGCGTTCATTTAATTAAATTTATATATAAAATTAAATTCTTATTATATATTAAATATTGAAAATTAAAGAAATAAATAATATAATAAAACTATAAAAACTCAAATTATATATTTGAATTTATTTAATAAATATAAAATAAAAATATAATTTCTATTAATTTATAATTTATTATTATTACACTAATAAAAGTTCTATTTAATATAAGATTTAGTAAAATTAATATATTGAAATTAATAAAAATATTTCTAATTAATTTTAAATTAATTCACATTTAAATAAGTGAAAAATAAAACGATAATGTAAATTTAATATAATGCTAATTTATAATTAGTTCTAAGCCGATTATAATTCTAATAAAATAATAGGATTTAATATATATGGATTAAGTTTATAAAAATGGATAAGAATTTGAAAGTATATGAAAATCCTATTTGGAATTCATTTTATAACTTGAAAAAGTTCTAATTAAAATAAATAACTTTATAATTTAAAATTATTCCTTAATTAAATATAGTTTTAATTAAATAGTAAAGCTTATATTAAATATATTAACCTAATACAAAATATTGAGATAAGAAAAAAGAAAATGTTCTTTATTATTTATTTACTTAATTAATTAAAAATAATTTGTTTTATAATAATAATTTACAATAAAATGGAAATTTTTAAACATTAAATAAAAAACTCATAGAATAAAGCGATAGATTAATGAAAAGATAGTAAAAATCTAACGATAAAATTAAATATATTATAAATTACCTCTCTTTTTAAATAAAATTATGATATAGATTTTAATTTATTATAATAGAAACTTATAGATAATTTAACGTTGAATAATCTAATTTATATAAAACAAATTATTAAGGAGTTAAAATTGATTACTTTTTACTTATATTAAGAATTAATTGTTTAATATAATAACGTTATTAGTTTTTTATTTTTATTTTTATATAAATTTATTTTGAAATTTATAAAGTTTTTTAAATAAAATAAAAGAATTAAAAGTATTTAAAATAACTAAGAAGTTAATTATTTAAGTTGTTTACTAATATAAAAAAGTCTTTTTAATATTAAATTAAATTATTTATTTTAATATAATAATATAACATAGTAAAATATTTTTATATATTATATCTATTTATTTATTTGTAAAAGTTTCTAAAATAAATTAGAATTTTATTCATATAGTACTAATTGAAAATTAATTAAATTCTAATTTAGGCTTTTCAATTTAAAATATTATTTATTTAAAAATAATTATAGGATTTAATTAATTAAATCAAATTCTTTTTACTTATTACCTTATAATATAAAATAAAAGTTGAGGTTATTAAGAAAATGGAAAAATAATTGTATAAAATTATTGTAATATTTGGCTAGCCTTAATTATTAATTAAAAATATAATTAATTAATCTAAAATTAGTACTAGTTAAGTATAAAACTGATTCCTAACCGATTATTCAGTAGAAGTATCAGTAGGACTAGTATTTTTAGCCTGTTTAATTTACCTAGTAAGAATATTAAATATTTTCGCCTCTTTAGCTGGCTTAGGCTTAAAGAAATCCTAAATAGTGTAAGGATATTTTTCTTCGTTAGGACGTTTTGGAGGAGGGCTTGGATTAATCCTTAATTAGTATTGAATTAGTTAAAAATAGGTTAGGAAATTTATAAGACTAATAACTGCCGTTAGAGTAACCCTTATAAGTCTATTCCCTCTACTTTTTAATTAAACCATTGTAGAAGATTTTTTTTACCGTAAATTGTCTTTATATTGAAGGTAGAAATTTAGTAATATATTTATATAAATCGGAAATAGAAGTTTAATGGTATTAAATAATATAAATTAATAATAAATTATTCCAAAATTAATTTTAAATTAACTTACCTCATTACCGTATATAGTTCCGCGGGGCTTAATAAAATGGTAAAGAAGTTTATTAATTGCAATTTAGATTTGGTTTTCTTAAAAAAAAGGCTAGAAATTAATTTTCATTTTATTTGAAATAACTTTAATATACCTTATTGAGTGTAAAAGGCGGGAAATTCTTAGGCCGCTCCACTAAAGTTATATAAGCCTTATAGGCTACATTTTTAATATATTTAGGAGTTATTTATTCTAATTTAGTTGTAAATTAGGCGGTAAATTATTATCGATTAATTTTAAATTAGTTTTAGACTAGTTATATATTAATATTATAAAGTAGAATATTAGTTATATAGTTTAAAAGTAAGGTGAGAAATATTTAAATAAAATCTTATAAAAATGTAAAATAGAGTTTATATATACCGAGAATATATTTGAGATTGGTTAAAAGGAGAAAGAAGGAAGAAATTTAAAATTTGAAAATGAAATTTAAGAAGAGGTTTTAAGAACGGATAATTATTTTGCCGGAAGGCGGTAAATAAATTTATTTTAAATACGTAATTAAAGCGGTAAATAAGGGTGGAATAGTTATGTAAATAAGTAATATAATATTGTTAGATTGTATAACGATTGAGTTAATTTATAATCGAAGATTAATATTAGACTAATTTAAAACTAATTAAGTCCTAAAAACTATATAGTGGTTTAATAATAATTTTGATATTTAAAAATTACTTTTATATATATATTTTTTAAATTTATAAATAAAAATTAAGCTTTTAATTTTATTTTTATAAATTATAAATGCGTTATATTTATAAAGTAAATTTATATTAGATTTTTATATTTATATTGAAAATTTAATTAGTATTATTTTAAATAGAATTTATATAAAGTAGAGTTTTGAAAGGATTTTAATTCTAAATTGAATATAAAATGATAAAAGAAAATATTAGAAAAAATCAAGAAAAATCTATATAAATTAATAGTATTTCAACTGTAACTAATATTATTATAATAATATTATCATTAAATTAAATCTATATATATATATACTTAAAGTTTATAAACCTATATTTAAAACTTATTTATTTAATATTTTACAAGAAGTATTTAAACTATATAATATTTCTTATATATTTTTAATCTTATAATTTTTAAAAGTGAATAATATTTATTTTATTCAACAATTTTAGAAAATATAATAATTTTTAATAAAATACTAATAAAATCAAAATTATAATTAGATTTTGGTTATAGTAAATTACTTATTTTTAATAATGTAAAAGTAAATTAATAATTTAATAACGTAAATATAACTTTTAAAAATCTAATTTCAAATTGATCCAAAGCTAGTCTAGAACTATTCTCTCTATTTACTTATTAGCATTTAACTATGTTAGCATATTTAAATTTATTTTTATCTATACTAACTCAAGACTAATTAAGGACTAGCCCAGGACTAGTCTCACCAAATACCTTATAAGACAGTACGAAAATGACCAAAATCAATTGTTAAGACCTCCGATATCAGCGAAACTTTCTTCACGGTATGGGGCACAGGTCTTGGCATGGTCTTGGCGCTCCGATTAGGGGCTGAGGTCAGACCCATGGGTGAGCTAAGCTAGGAATTCTGTTGTGGCTTGGGTGCGGTATGGAAGAGGGAAGCGAGTCGATATGGCAAGCTCCGTTGCCAGCTCCCTGTCAGCCGTCAGCAATGTGGATGCGGGTAATGGCGCTGATCATTCCGGTAGCAATGGGAATGGGGACGCAGAAAGGGCCCGGTCAGACAATTGAATGTCCGTGAGACCATGGCGTTGATGGGAAAGGGGCCATAATTGAATGTCTTATTATAATTGCCCATCAATCAATTACAGGGCCAAAAGCTAAAGTGGCTTGCAGTGGCAGTAATAGAATGCTGCGAGAGAAGGTGGAAGACGTGAAAAACGAAGAAAACGAGGGAAAGACAAGCCGACAAGCTGCAGTCGATAGCAAGCGATGAGGTGCTAGAACATATTAGGTTAGCGTACCAAGCTCTGCCGATCGTGATCAAAAGAGCCTCAAAAGATTGGGGAAAGTTCGCGATAGCGACATAGCGCAGTCTGATGGCCTGTGCTTTGACCGTCAAGGTGCCCTGTCCATCCCCTTTCCACTTCTTGGAATCGTGGGGTCGGTCAGTGCTGTTTGTGGGGAGTGCGACCGCTGTTGTCCAGCTGTCCAAGGGCTGTCTCGGGTGGAACGACAGGTGCTCCCGGTGACTGAGACATCACTGATTGGGTCGGACTATCATCACATGACTTTGGGACCTGCAACTGGCAGCTGCCCTCCAATTCTTCATAGACCTGGAAGGACCGATCTTCATCGCCCTTGCCAAATCAGACACCACAGAAAGATACTCCGACATTCTGGAGCCCGCGATGCCGGGCATGCACGCTGGGACCTGGATGGGCCCTGGATAGCCCTGGATGCCAACCCATACACCGTCAAGAGCATTCCCGTCCCGATCCCGGCAACCTTCTGAGAACCAAGTTCCTGTTTACCCCCATCTGCGGTGCAACCCCTTTTCCTTTAACACCGTCTCAGCTGCAGAAGAATTTGCATGCCAACACCTCAACCTCCCCGCCATAAATCATAAATCTCCGCCTTTGTTGTCTCTAGGCCAGTGACCGTCTCGGATTGAGTCGAGGATGTGTCGTCATGCAGTAGGGCATTAGGGTTAGGAGGTTGTCGGATTCCACCCGCTCGCTCTCTATGGCCGTCGCCAAGTGGTTGTTACTGTGTAACCGGCGGCTTGTCGTGAAGATGTGCAACTTCTTCCATGTACGGTTCCCGCCATTCCCTTTATCAGTTCCTACAAAGTGGACAGACCGTAGATCACTTACCGCAATGTTGGTTCAGTGTGGGCGAGTGTGGACAAGCTGGACCACAGAGTGACTCCGCAAACTCCGCAACAAGACCGATGGTCCATCCCGGTGCCTTGGACCACCAGAAAGGGATGGGAGCCTCCCAGTCACTCGACGAATGCGGCGACATGTGCTCGGTGTCGGGAGCAGCATCGGACTCCCAGGGGTGGGCCTGCCCTTGGCTTTATGTAGACGGGGACGACGGACTCCTGATGCTGATATATGATGGTCCCATCCCGTTCCGAAGTCCAAGTTGATCGCAATCTCTTCCATCACATCTTCAAACGACCAAGTCCGAAACCTTCACCCTTCGGAGTCTGTAGTCGAAATTACCATCAGACATCTCATCATGGAGGACAAACCATACACATCTCCCGTCGAGGAGAAGCCCGAATCGGCAGGGATCACAGTTACGATCGAGACCACAACCACACCAAACAGCGGGAAGAAGTTCGGCCATACCAGGCAGAATGACTCCGTCTCATCTACCTTCTCCCAAGCTTCCGCCATCTCCACATCATCGACCAACTCGGAAAAGCCTCTCATTGTCAACGAGAAGCGGCTCACGTACCAGTCGACATGCCCGACCATCGTCGACCTCGAGGCCCAGACCGAGGAGGATGAGTACAAGCAGAAGCCCTTGGGCCGTGTTCGATACACCATCTTGACGATCTACCGTCGACTCTTCACTGTAGCCTTCATGGGCAATGCCATTGCCTTTATCATCATGATGATCAAGGGTGCCCACCCCATGGACCTGGTCAACGCTGCTGCCGTCAACATCGCTGTCTGCGGTCTGTGCCGTCAACCCCTTGTCATCAACGCCCTCTTCCTCATCTTCGGATCCATCCCCAGATCTGCCCCCATCAGGATCCGCCGCTTGGCGTGCAAGATCTTCCACTTCGGCGGCGTCCACAGCGGGACAGGTGTGGCATCGGTTGTCTGGTACATTGGCTTCGCCGCCGTCTTCACGTACAACTACACGCCATCAGTCATCAACACCACCGTCCTGACCTTTGTCTGGGCCGTTCTGGGCTTCCTCCTCTCCATCGTCATCGTCGCCTACCCCACCTTCCGCATGAGGTTGCACGACTACTTTGAGCTGACCCACCGCTTCGCGAACTGGATCATCCTCGTCCTCTTTTGGATCCTGCTCATCTTGCTGGGCAAGCAGCAGGCCGACCTGGGTAACTTCCTCCTTCATCTCCCCGCCTTCTGGATCATCATCGTCCTCACCCTTGCCACCATCCACCCGTGGCTGCTGCTCCGCAAGATCCCCGTCAAGCCCGAGGCTCTCTCCCCCCACGCCATCCGTCTTCACTTCAGCCACACCGAAGTCGTCTTCGGCCAGGGTATCTCGGTCGCCAAGCATCCCCTGAAGGACTGGCACAGCTTCGCCTGCTTCACGGACAAGTTCGACACCCCCGACACCAAGTTCTCGTGCATTGTCTCCAAGGTCGGCGACTGGACCAAGTCCACCATCAACGACCAGCCCACCCACCTCTGGAAGCGTGGTGTGCCCACCTACGGCTTCGGCTATGTGTTGCGCATGTTCCCTAAGATCATCGTCGTCACCACCGGCTCCGGCATTGGTCCCTGCCTCTCCTTCATCGAGGACGCCAACAGGCCCGATATGCGTGTCATCTGGCAGACCAAGTCCCCCCTCAAGACCTACGGCCAGCGCACCCTGGATCTGGTCCACAGGATGGACAACAACCCCGTCATTCTCGACACCTCCATCACCGGCCGTGTGGACATGTTGCCTATCGTTCTCCGGTTGTTCAAGGAGTTCAACGCCGAGGCGGTCTGCTGCATCAGCAACCCCATGATGACCAAGAAAATCGTGCATGGGTGCGAGATGCGAGGCATTCCGGCCTATGGCCCCATCTTTGACAGTTAAGCTGGCTCTTCCACTGTCTTTGAGTTTTTGTTGTTGTTTTTGCACATACATTTTTTTGTTGTCGTTGTCTATGGGCGGGGAAATCATTACAACAATTGGATCATATACCTAGCGCGGCGCAAAAAAAGGGCGTAATGTTTTTGATGTTGTTTTTTTTTTTACCACGAACGGAACGCGGGTTCGAACGCCGTTACGAAAGACAAGAAGACCATGACTTACATATCATGACATATACCACACACATACACGATCGTTATGGGTTGGGGTTTCCCAAAGGGACAGAAAGAAAGGCATACCCTCTAGATTACTAGATACATCATTAATTAATACATGACCGGAAGAAGGTCGTCACGATCTTTCACGATACTATCATTTGGAACTTCTGAAAGAAAGACATACATACTTGCCTACTGCATTGCATATGAATCACTGACTTTTATGCTTGTCTCGTGAGGTGCAGCAGCAGTGCATGACGAAATGCGATGCGTGTCTTACAGCCACTGACTGTCGCTGCTGCTGCATTCAGCATGCAAGATGGCGGCCGCAGTGCATCGCGGACCGCGATGTCTTGACGCGACCCTTGCATTGCATGCGCTGAAGAAGAGAATCCCATCGGCAGCGATATGGGTTTTGGGAAACAAAGGACGGGAAATAGGAATGCAGTTGACCATTAACCGCCGCGTGGGGTATGAGCTGGAGTGGACTGGTCGTTTTGTCGCAACATTTACACTCTCGCAGACTCTCTGGCAGAGGGGAGAGTGGGAAGAAGAATCGAGGGACACACCCAAAATTCGAAAGACAAACATATGGCGTTTGCTAGTGGAAAATGTTAGTGCAGCGCATGTAAGGCCCGGGCCCGGACCCCAGATCAAGCGACTCAAAAACAAGTCATTAACACTTTTACTAGAGAGCCTCGAACAATAATGTTAGTATTCTTTCCCATCAATTCTTTTGCCCACTCTCTACAAGAGATTGCAGTGGGTGTTCCGACAACATCCAAAAGCCACCAGCTCACACACCCAGGGTTACAAATGGATCCAATACACGAATAACAAGTACCAAAACCATTACTCGTCAAGTCTTCAAGTTCCAACTGCTGTGTCGGCTTCTGACTTCCTCATCGGAAGGCCGGTGACCCGAAACACCTTTGGTCTCCTTGACGCCATGAGAACCTCCTTCAAAACCGACCATCTGACTAGCGGGCGAGCCACAATTGATTAGGTGGTATACCCGCATATGCATATGGTTTAGTTGCATTTTACTCCTTCGAGCTGCATGTCCAATGCATGCACACCATATTACCGTCTCGGTACCAGAATCCGGTACGAATCAATGTCCCTGACTAGTGGCTCGCCCGCTAGTCAGATGGTCGGTTTTGAAGACCTGACGAGTTATCTGGCGCAATTACATAGAAGCAACGGAAGTAAAAAGTTGCTGACGATATCAACAACATGACAAAGCCGTCGCTGATGGATATTACTAATCCAACCCGGCAATTGTGGAGAGAAATCGCGCCAGCGGGACTACCGGTGGCGCAATCCGGCTCCCGCCCGTCCCGCCCGTCCCGCAGCACTCCGAACCGGTATATAACCCCGCGTTAGGACAACATCACCCGGCTGCCGTCAACAATCGCACCGTCTCACAAAGCGGAAGTCAATGCAAGCAGTCACTTCGTCACTCAGAAGGACTGCCATCAGAACTCACATCCGACCTTCAAAACTGATACAACAACAAACCCGAACCCTCACCACCCCCGCCACAACCGCCAACATGACAACCGGCACCTTCCGCTACGCCGACCCGGCAACCATCAACCGCTCCTCCACCCCCTTCATCAAATCCTGGTCCAAAGTAGACGTCGACTACTCCTCCTTCTCGCGCGTCTCCGTTTCCAAGCCCGTTCACGACCTCCGCGCCGCCCTTGAATCATCCCCCTCGGATTTCGGCGTGGACGTCTCCGGCTTCGCGCTCTACAACCACCCGGCCACCGAAACCTCCTTCACCGACGAGCGCGCCATCTGGTCGGGGTACTACGCCGAAGTTGAGGCCCTACTGCGGGCTAAATTGCCTGGTATCAAAAGGGTAGAGATCTTTGATCATACCATCCGGCGAAACACCAATAATTCAGCGAGAAAGCCCGTGCAGCAGGTGCACGTCGACCAGACGCCTGCTGCTGCTGCCACGCGCGTGCGCAGGCATGTGACGCCTGCAGAAGAAGCAGAGAAGTTGTTGAAGGGACGGTACCAGATTATCAACGTCTGGCGACCCATTTCGCACCCGGCGACGGACTTTCCGCTGGCGTTTATTGATTGGCGCTCGACTTCCCCGGGAGATCTGGTGCCCGTCGACTTGCTCTACCCCAAGCGTCGCCCAGATGAAGACAACGAGGATCGCGGGAAGGAGGTAGCCCCTGGTGAGGAGACATACCCCAAAACCGAAGGGTACGAAGTCAAGGGGGAGACGTATGGAGTGGTGCCGAGCGAGGGACACAAGTTTTATTATGTCAAGGATATGAAACCGGAGGAGGTGGTGCTGATCAAGTGCTTTGATAGTTGGGGTGAGGGGCTGCAGGAGCCGTGGGGGAGGGGGAAGAAGGGGGTGGCGGGGTGGACGCCGCATACGGCGTTTGTAGATCCGGCGACGCCGGAGGGGACGCCGGGGAGGGAGAGTATTGAGGTTAGGTGTTTGGTATTTTATGAGGATGAGGAGTAGGAGGGTTGTGTGATGCAGTGAGGTGAACTTGGTCCTCATTTGTGTGGAATGAGACCGGGTGGTGGGAGCGAGCGATGCATGTTCTGGGGACTTCCGTCTATCGGCACCCTTCTTCCTAACTTTCTATTTTGGATATCCGTGATAAAAGACCGCAACATACACTTGTTGAATTACCATACGGGATGATCATCGTCCTCCTCGTCATCATCCTCTGAATCGTCATCGCCACCCATACCGCGTTTCCTTTTGATCCCGTACTTAGAGTGCTTAAAGACTGGATCATCAGCCGGAGTGATCAATCTGATCCCTTTCCTGTGTTCCCACAGTTGCCTTATCCATAAGGTCGTCAACCAACGTCTCGAGGAGCCCATAACAACAAGTCCCTCGGCCGGATTCTGCGCGAGTTGCAAAACCTCCTCGGTAATGTATGCCTTGTGTGGAAGACCCTTGCGACGCCCGAGCAGCACGTAAAGCTCTTCCAAATCCTCGTTGTCTTCCTCGCGGATTTTCTCCCATTGATCCTTTATTTCCATTTTGTGCCTGCGAAGCATGTACTCCTCGTACGAAAGGGTCTTGAAAGCTTCCTCTTTGGTGAGCTCCGTTGGGTCGGGGGCTGGTTGGTCGTCAGGCTTCTTCGCCGAAGGAAAACCATACGTCTCATCTCTAATGGTTTGGTCCCGCGGAATAGCCTCACTACTGGTCGGAGAAGCAAATGTGGGAGAGCTTCTAGGCGAGACGGCCCTGGCGAGCGTTGGACGTCTTGGTGTATTTGGGGTTTCGGGGGGTGGGTTTGCCGGATCATCTTCCAAGACCCATGCTGGATCTGGACCGGTACCATCCGCAAACGACCAATCCACGAGGTCTGTTGGCCCAAACGTGTATTCTAATTTGGCATGGCGAAGTTCTTCCAGTTCTTTGCATGACTGTGCAGCAAGTTTTCTTCGCTTGAACCAATCATCATTGGAGGCAGAAAGCTTCTTGACCACCAAGGTAGGGGGCTGAGTGGACGTATCGAAAGTGATTTGAACCCCTGTGTCTTTCCAGAGCCACTTGACCGAGTCTCTTTGAAGGGCTGTCCATCTGAATTGCGCTGTCTCTTGAGTTGCATCCACTAGGAACCGATACCCTTCCATCGCTACATGGTCGTTAGGATCAACCGGTCTGGGTGGCTTCCGTGACAAGTTCTGATGACCATACAGGTGAGTTTGCAGTGGCCGAACCAGCATTCGGAAGTGCTGCTTTAGTAAATCGGTACATAGGGGGCCTAGAAGCGCTACCCCGGATACTTCTTTGTAGACACTAGTAAAAAACGCCATCATGCCAGGATTGTAGATGCCGTCCCATTGCTTGACCGATCTACTGAGGTCAGCCAGCCACTCCTGGTAGAGGTTATAGTCGACTTGTCTTGCGAGGTAGAGGAGGAAGCCAACGATGTCGATGTCCTCAGATAACCAAGCAGATACGTATCTTGATTGGTGATGGGATGTGAAAAAGTGGTCGAATTGGATGAAGGTTCTGCAAAGATGCCGTCTCATGCCCCAGTCAATCTTCATGTGTAGGGATTCTATAAACGCAGCGATCCAAGGCATCGGCTCGGTGGGCAGCTGCATTTGAATGAGAAGTTCTCTGACAAGTCTAGTTCGATGTTAGCAATCATGCTCTGCAAGTTTTTGAAGGGACCCAGCATACTCATAAGCAACAGTAGACTCATGGCCAAAGCTGAGAGCGGCTTTAGCTAGAGCACGACCATCCTTTGATGAACAGAGTAAAGGTGTTCGGAAATCATCCGGGATGAGTAAAGGTTTGAGCCAAGATGTCACAAGTAGGTGGGGTAGGAGACCTTGACCGGTGATCTGCTTTGGCAAGGCCAGCACAAACTCGACTCGGTCATGCAGGTTCTGGTACGAAAGGATGAGCTGGGTCAAGCTGTTTTAGCTGCATGTTAGCCACATCAGATGAGGCAGTGGATGGTAAAGTATGGGACGAACCATTCTTGAAGGTACGGATCCCAGAAGTTCATCAACAACCTCCTCTTGACGAGACAATCGAGCCAAGGGACGAAAAGCTGCTGGTCGGGGGCACTGTCAAACCTGCTTTGAAGAGTGCAAGCCCGAAGGAAGAGTCCGTAATCACGTTGCTCTCCGGCGAACATGAGTATCTGGGACTTGACTGAAGGAGTCATCACAGCTTCCGCGTTCATAACACGGTATAGCATATCAACGGCGATATGGGCGTTATGGACTGTTAAGTCGGAATCGGGAAATCCGGTGGTGTGCTGAAGGGCTAATCCCAGAAAGTACTTGGCGATACGCTGGACTTGATCGTCCCCAGTGGGACAATTCGCAACGACCGAGGAGGACAGTACGCATGGAGATTGCGCTTGTGGAACGAGGAGAATCGTCTGCCATAACACTTCAGCACGCGGTCAAGCATTCAGGAAAGGCCAGACTTACATCTGCTTGCCAGAACTGCCGGGTCCATTTATCAGGGTGTTGGAGGCCCTGGCCCGGATGCGGCACAATTTCCTCATGGGGCTGGCTACAGAACAGTTCGTCGTGTATGAGACTCTGAACTTTGTGTAACATAGAAAATCTCGGTGCGTTACTGTTGCAAATCCACGGCGGCAGTATAGGCTCTCCATCCAGGTCGTACACGGACAAGAGTTCCACGTCGAAAAAGGAGCTACTAAGGTCTCGGCGGCGCAAGTGTTCGGAGAGGGCGGATTCCACATTGTAGTCAGGCCAGTGCTGGATATTCGCATAGAGTTTCGAGGTCGAGGGGCCAGACCATACGGCCCTGACGCTGGCAAAGAACACGTCCCAACCAGCAGCTCTTGCGCCCCGGCGGACAATTTCTATCCGTCGCGATGTATCGTGGTCTAGTTGACGGAGGGAAGTAAACCATGTCCCCGCGGTTCCTGGAGGACCGAAAAGAATCGCGGGAGGCTCTGCGTGCGAGTACTTTTCCGGCCATGACAGCAGCGACTCGCGGACTAAAGAGGCATCCGCCTTCTCGTAGGCGCTTCGGAAGACTCCAAAGAACGGCGAGGAGTGCGGTATTGTCCGAGGTGGAGGTATGGGGATGTTGAATGGGAAATGGTCGGTTTGTGTAGCCGCGTCTATCGTGCTCGCTTTGGCATTCGGGCCAGCAATCGGGTCAGAGACTTGAGGGACGTCTGTTTGCGAGTTGCCGGCAGGGGCCGCGACAGGAAGAGGCGGATCGGCCATTGCAAGGTGCGGGGCCCGGTCGCATCAGGGCTAAGGTCCAGGAATGCGATTTCCAAGAACCAGACAAAGTGGGCTGTCCCAGGTCTCTTTCGACGGTAGAGTGGGTAGGATCGATTGCAGTGTCAAGTTAACCAATCCAATTGGGAAGGCGCTGGGAAAAAACAGAGGCCATCAAGGTTCCCTCCCATGGCGGGGTAAATTTGTGTGGGCAGACGCGACGCGTATCCCGCACAAACCACCCTACGGAGATATGTGCTGTCTAGGTGATTAAGCCCAGATCAGCTGATCAACCGACCCAGATTCCTCCGCGCAAAGGCAGTGAGCCAAGATCTACCCTTCTCTTCTTTACCTACACTGCAACTCCTCGATCCAAATTCTTTTCACAGTCTTCACACGTATCAATATGCACTTCATCATCACTCTTGTCTTGGAAACACACCAAAAGATTGTCGGTCACTCGGTCGATCACAGGCCAATCCATCATAAACCCATCACGGTGATGCCAAGCACCGACCCAGCAGTCCAGCACGATTCATGTGCATGCGGAAAACCACCGTGACATCCCGAAGATCGTGAAGCACAGCAACCGCAAGTGAAGCTCAATCCAGCCATCATGAAGATCGCCAGCCGCCGGAACAACCCGCTGCTGTCCTAGCCTCACGAACATCAGCGGACGCTCAGATCTATGAATACGAGCAACAACGGAACGAATCTCGCGCCCGCTTCAGAGGACGGATTGCTTCCGCGCCCCCACGCGCTCTGTCACCACCACACACACCCGGTTATTAGCGAGCCTGGTAGCGATGAGCGGTGACTATGGACGCCCTACGAGCTACATACTGCGTATGGAGGTGCCAAGGAAAGGAGTTGTGACAGTTTTCGGCATGGTCTGGGTTGAGTAGCGAAATGCCAATTTCTACCCCCCCCGGCCTAACCCCTTCTGTCTATTCTCCCCAGATCCCCTCAACCACTGGCAACTCACAAAGGGGTGGGTCTTAGCTGACTTTGTCCGACCTTCACGAGAAAAACAAACGTCCCAGCGGACGAAAAAGGAATGCCTTTAAAGACTATATGACGCCTCCGGTGATATCTGATTGAAATCCTCAACTATGCAAGGCCGCACCCTTGCGTCCACAAGTTTGCATCCATGGACGTCTCGCTGATGAGTAAGCCATATGGCTCTAATCGGCTCAAACTTTTCATTGAAAAGTTAGGAATATTTAGCTACCTCCTCTCGTCTGCAGCCAAGTAAAAGGGGTGGATCAATACGACCGTACCGCTTTAGTGCTGCATTAGCTTGGTGATGGCTGGTCTTGACCATTTTTAGTATAGTTGGCCAAGGCCTCCACACCGCCTTGTCAAAGACACCTGAAAAACAAGGTTGAACCCCGCACGAGGTTAGCACCTAGATCCATTCGGATTTATACGAAAAATACCAGCTAAAATACGTCCCAGTCCGAAAAGATAAACGCCTAAAACGAATATTTAACCCCTCTAAACGGTTCAAATATATTACTATTGTCCTACTTAGTAAATAGTAAAGGCGAAGAATAATAAAATAGTCTCGTTAACCCCTTCTTATAGCTACTCGATAATATTTTTAAACCGCCCAGTAATAATAATATCCTACCCCCCTTCCCAACCTTCGACTCCCTCGAAGATAGCCAATTTATCTACCCAATAGACTACAAATACATTAATAATAACCAACCAATTAAAATCCAAAACGATATTATAACGGCCTCCCTAAATAATACCCAACCGCCTTAAAATATCGTACAAAATAGAGAATTATCGCGAACTATACCCCCCCTAATTTTAAAGAGGAAGTAAACACCCCCTAAGCCTAAGTAACTAAAGGTACTAAAACTACCCAAGTTAATTAAATTAAAGAAGAGGATCAACTAGACTCATACCATGACCGATATACTAATAATTTAATTCCTCGAATATAAGAACAACAAACTCTTTAATTTAATATAGCCAAAAGATTTTATTGAAGTATAAGAGCGGGTAAAGGGATATTATATAGAAAAATAGATTAAATATATATAAACTTAGAAGATTATTAAGACTAAATTCAATACCGAGTAACGTTGATATTATTATTAAAAAGAAGTTCTCTCTATCTTTAGCGCCTCGCTTAACCCTACTACTAAATTACCCAAAATATTTACGTAGAATTGAGAAGCCTTTCAGAAGCGGAAGAATACTAAGAACTATATAATCGACTAATTTATAAAGACCCCGCTCGGTAATATTAAAATATACTTTCAAATATTCTTCAGGACGAAGGCAGCGGGTAGGGGCATCGCGGAAGTAGGAGAATCGTAAGTAAATAAACTATTTAATAATAATAATATTAATCTTCATAATAATAATAATAATAATAACGGGGAGGAAATAATTTTATCTAACGATAGGGAGGAGGATAGGGACGATGACAATATTAAAGAGGTTATTCGGCTACCCGTAAAAAAACTTACTAAGGCGTAACAATATAGGAAGGATACTAATCCTATTTAGATTATTACTAGAAGGCAAAATTCCCCTTATTGACGTGGGTACTAATAAAGTCGGTCGTAAAAAGAAGGGTAATAATATCGAATTACTTAGTACGTCGATAGAAAAGGCAGCTACTTTATTATAAGCTCCTAAACCAGTTGGATCTAACGAATTTACCTTCGCCGTCGAGAATTTATAGCGTAAGTTCTTTAAGTTAGAGGAGGAGGAGATAATAAACTATATTAATTATTTTGTAAATTATCCTTTTTTTACTAGCATATAGTTAAAGTTAAATAAAAAAAATAAAGGAGGGGTATATTAACTGCTAGAAAGATTGAATAGAATAGAATAGAATAAAATAGAGGGATAAGGTTGGGGGAGGGGTAATTAATTTAATAATTTACTAAATTTATACTAAATTACTAGATTTACACTAGATTACTAAATTTACTAGATTTTAATTCGAAACCCCTAATTTTATGAAATAATCTAATATTTCTAATAATCTAGCAAATAATTATACAAACACGATAATTTACAATCTCCCCTCCCCTCCCCTCCCCTCCCTTCCTCCCCCCACTTCAATACTCTACTCTACTCTATACATACTAAATTATTTAATATCTCTCGTCTTTTTCAAATATAATTACCAACTCCTCTATATTAATATCGACGACCGCTATCTAATATAATTAGGGTATATACTCCTCACTACCCTTCGCGTACATATACGAGCCTCTTTCATCTACCGCTTTTCTTTCGTATTCAATTAGTAGGGTTTTCGATTCCTTATATATTTTAATATAAAACTATATAACGTAATTACCGCGTATACAACCCGTCTCTGGTTATTAAGACTATACTCGAAAGGCACTACCCTTATAATCTTCTATCGCCTTTTTAAATAACCAAAAACATACTCTACGACAATTCAAATACGAGAGTAATATGAATTATATAGCTCTTTAAGGTCTTCTAGCAATACATTTATATTCTTCCAATCTTGAAGATAATATTTAACATTTGCAAAAAGAATTATAATACCCTACTTTACGCCAAAATTAGCGTCTATAATATAGTATCGATTACGAAGCATACGAAACGAACGTAAGAATATTTAATTGCAAAGTAAGGTATCGTTCGTCGACCCTTCTACGTCCGCCAATACATACGTAAAAAAGTAATTGAACTTTACGGCCGCGAATATATTGTAAGTTATTAATCCCTTATAGTTATACTATCGTAGTTAATCCTTCTTCTTAATATACGTAGTGATATAAATACTATCGATAGTACTAATACAACTATTGAACGTATTCAAACTAAAATTCAATTCGATAGTAAAGTCTAAATAATCATCCGGCGGTAATATAATATACGTAATATCACGGGGCGAGAGCACCGTTAGGTATAAGGTATGATCTTTATTATTGTACGAAGGAAGCAAGAAAGGTGTGCGCAGCCAGGGCAAATATAAGGCACGGGTAAGATCCACCTAATTGGGTAGATTTACCCTGTAACCGCTACTAAAGCTAAGCCCAATACTATAGTAATAGCTACAACTAAGCCGCAGTACAATATTAGCCAATAGCACGACTAACATAGGGCATATAATCTAGCCCTATAACACTACCCCCTCTCAAAAGAAATCCCCGTTTACGAAATCGCTAACTAAATATATAGTTTTGCCCTTAAATCTTTCAAAGTAAACCTTCCCGGGATATACCCAATTAAAATTAGATAAAATCCCTTAGCGCGTATATTAAGACGGGAAATTACTTAACGTTAAGACTCCTATCTAGGAGAAAAATACTAATTAAAGTATTATTAAATATAACCCTTCTACCGAAATATCTATTATTTTACTAAATAATCTTGAATAATATTCTAATTTTTTTTATAATTGCCACCTCCCCTCTCTACCATTGCCAACCCCTAAAGGGGGTATTATAAAGGCCTTATAATATAGTGGTATATGAGGACACTTAAAGTGCCACTACTAATACAAATATAAATATTATACATTCGAATTGTATTTATATCCCTCTTTCTTTTTCTTTTACCCTATATTTGTAAAAATAATTCCTAAATACTCTATTTATTTATATTAACGTATTATAACTACTATATAATCTTATTCGAATTGGGGAGACTCAATTAGAGAGACCAATTTAGGGAGACCGTAGGGAGAAAAGGAAATTAAAGTATAAGTAAATTTCGGACTATCCCTCAGAATAGGCTTAGAAGATTCGTTCTCTAGAAATTTAAAGTGGGATTCGTACTATAAATCCTAAATTCCTTTTTTATTAAGTTTTCATTTATCTTTTACTTTTTATTTAATTTTATACTTCTTCGAACTAATAGTACTTCTAATTATTATACTAATTCTAATATTTCTAGGAGGTTATTCTAAGCCCGTATTAACTTCTTCTTTAATTGCCCTCTTCTTTTTTTAACCTAGACTAATAGTAGTAATATATTGGGATTAGCGTTATAGAATTTTTAAATAATATTATCGTATCCTTTTAAATCTTTAACCGGTTGCTCATTAGGTTTATTAATATTTTTTTTATTTAATATAATATTGTTAGCGACTGTTATTTACTTTACTATATCCTATAATACTTTCGAATTCCTATTTTGACTATTTATTATTATTATACTTATTAGTTATAATTATTATTCAACCATTATTCGTACGGATATCTTCCTTAATATCGTATTAGCCGGGTAGTCCGGCTATTTCCTAGAATTTAATTATAAATATATAGAATATTAGATTAACTTTTATATTCTTAAGAAGTTTTAATTTTACTTAGTAGGAATTAGTTTTAATAATTATAAATAG